GGGTGTTTATTAAATGATTACGTTTGATCACCAGGGGGGGGAGGGGGTCAAAAATCACCAAAAACGTGATTACGTAATATATGGACAGCCCCTTACTTAATATACAAAGGCCTTTAATTTCGTCTAAAGCTAAATAAACTTTATACCCTTTGGTATCTGCCGCACATCTACATACACATATCTATATCTATCCGCATGCGAATGTATTACGTAAACGTATACGCATACACCTGCGGTCATGCCGCCACCAAAGGACCTTCTCCAAAAGGACCATTCTCCATGTGTGTTTGATGTTTGGGCTGCGTTCTTTGGCGCTCTCTGTTTTGACTGTGTCTGCCGCTGTTGTTTCTGTTGTTGTTGCAATGTCCTTGGGCGAATATTTGCATGTTTTATTGTATCTGCTGTTCCACCCAGTTTAGGCCGCCACGCCCCCAAATGCGCCCCCTCAGCGCCCCGGGGACAATCCAGCGCCCTCAGTACGCATGTACCTATGTTTTTAATTCTTTACATCGATATTTGGCCGCTGGCAAGTCGAAAACGCGAGCCGCTGCCAAAGGTTGATTGCGGCACCGAAAAGGGGGTGGAAATTCAAACCTCACCCCTCTCCTGCCTCATTTTGACCAGGGAAAGCGGACAGCAGCGCGTTGGAGGCAATTTTCCCCCCAAAATATGCATGATATGTGGGCTACACCTTTTGTTATGCATTTGTTTTGATGTTGAAACCTAACCCTGGCCTCCGGGCATTTGCCATATTATTTGCACTATTTAAAGGGGTCGTGAATTAAAGTCCAATAGCAAGGGCTAATTAAAAGAGTGCTGCATACTCTTAGGACTCTTTCTTCGCCGGCTCACATATTTACACGCTAGTTTCCCATTACCGGGATGTCTTGCAGTCGCAGTGCGATTTTTAATTTGCGTTATACGAGGAGTTTCCTTTTGCCTGGCCCGCGGCTCACATGTGGAATCGTTGGGGATGAGGACGGGGGAAGAAGGACAGGCTCTGAGAATGAGGAAAGGATAAAGAAGGAGCAGGTGCAGGAGCAGGAGGAGGAGGAGTGGGCAGCGGTCGGGAGGAGCAGCGTAGCGTGACATCGCAGGAGCAGCAAATGTCACGCTTCACTCATTTCCGTCCCATGATGTCGACGTCGCAGTCATCATCATCATCGTCGTCGTCGTCGACGTTTCTGCCTGCTGATGAAGCTCAATGGTTAGTGGCAGTCAACCAGGAGTTTCCCTCGTCCTCCAGCTCTTCCTCCTGCATTGGCAAAGAAAACCACATGACAATATTGGTAGGTAGAGTGCACTGGAAAAAACTTAGAGTGCTTTAAGAACTGAAAGCATTTTTATAAAACACACAAACAATAAACTTAAATGGGGGTTATTTATATATTTTTATAGATATATATCCTTTTACTAAGTAAATAAAAATAAGTATATTCTCACTCCTTAAAAATCATTCAAAATGTAAGATCCTAATTCCTATACGGTTTTTCTATGCGGTTTCTTTCGGTGGCTCAGCATCAAATACTAATTTTAATTTTACAAAATTCTTTATCAGTGTACATGAAACAAGATCTGATTAATTCCACTCCCACAGCGTTTTTTTCTTCTGTGCAGAATGCTGGGTGAGCGGATGAGGCGGAAAGTGATAGGGTGAACAGGGGAACTAGTGGCAGTGACGCCCCTTCTCCGCCCATGCCCTCGTTCACGTTGCGGTTCTGGGTAGGCAACCTCTCAGCCGGAAGCACTTGAGAACTTGCAATGGCCAGCGGGCATTCGGTGCGGTTTCGTGCGTCGTTGCCCCCGTTCTCCGTTCTCCATTCTCCGATCCCCCGTTTCCCCCGTTTCCCGATCCCCGTTTCCCCTTCCGCAGCATCCTTGACGCCGAGTTCGCGAACTGAAAATTCCCTTCGTTTTCATTATGTTGCGGCCATGTTGTCCTTGCCTCGGCCTCGTCCTGGCCCCTCCCATTCCGCTGCTCCTGCCGATTCCGCTGCTGCGGCTGCTCCTCCATCATGGTTCTTTTCAGAGACCACGCCATCATTATTATGAACACCGTTATGGCCGCTGGCAATATATTCCAATTTGTTGTTGCTGCCGCCGCTCTTATTTCTCCATCGCCGGCGGTACTCGCCTTTGTTGTTGCTCCTCTTGGTGTTCTTATATGACCGCCAAGTCTCTCGCTTCCCCTGTAGATACCCATCACTTTTGGCCAGGGGTCAGGGGTATGCCAGACCCCGGTTTCTAGTATCCTTCTAGCTCAGTGATTTCCTTCTAAAACATTTCAAATTCATCATATTATGCAAGGAAATGTACCCAAAATATAACACTACCTTATTGAGAGGACCTAAGGAGTATCAGCTAGTTGCATACAAACCCCTTCCTGATTTCTTGTTCCCTTATTTTCGTTTATTTTGCTACATTTTGCCGCATTGCATTCGCGTTGACAAAAGTCTTGATACCTTCGCATCGTGTGCCATTTATGAGTAATAAGAAGCGGATGACTGCAGGGTCTTGGCAGTTCACTTACCTGTTACCTCTTGTGAGATTGGCCTTCTCCTGTTGCACTGCGATGGCTAATAAATTCTAGATTTGGAAGGCAAACGCAAACTGCATACATGTATGTGGGTACGGGTATGCAAATAAATAGTTAGGCCAACTAACTGGCCATGGAAGCCTGCGAGCATTGTAAAAACAACAGCAATAATAACAATAATCGTGCCACATTTAGATAGCGCACACAGAGAAAAACGCTTTTAGCCAATTGAAGAGTTTAAACATTGGGCCAAGTATGAAATTTGTTTGCCCATCTTCCAGGCATCCCCCTGAATCCCCCTCGAACCCCCCTTAAATCCCCTCACTCCCACTCCCCAAAATGTTAAGTTGCCGCAGTCGGCTGCTTATCTCTGGCTTGCAACATTCGCTGGGGGCAATTTTTACTTTTTGGGTTTTCGATACGAGAGCCGCTCCACCGCCACGCCCCCCGCCCCGTCTTCATTGGGAGGACCAAGAGCTGCTGCCCAAATGCAGTTGGCCTCCTGGGCGTGTGGGAGCGTGTGGGAGCCAGGGATGTGAGCGTGAGTATTAATAAACTGCAATAAAATTATTTATTTAAAGCGAAAACCATTTCTAACAAAGTTGTTTTAAGAACTGGGTACATCAATATGATAGACAACTTAAATGGGTTCGTTAAAATTAATTAATATTATTCTTATTATTAAGGTTCGAATATATGTTACTGATACTGTTAAATAAATTATAAGTAACACCCCTGTTTATTATTTTTAAGGTATTACCCATATTTAATTGAATAATCATTGAATAATATTTCGATATTAATAATAATAATAATAAATAAATAATAATAATAATAATTAATATTCTCTATTTGTGTATGAATCAGTAATTTATGCCTGGGAATGACAGAGTCATCATAAATTTTTGATGAATCGACTGATTCGAATCCCTAGTGACGTTTATTTCTGACAAAAAAAAGTTCGTTAAATATCCCTCACAATCTGTCATTTTCATTTTTAATAACTTCAACATACACTCAAAATAAATTTAACCCTAAATTTTAGAAAATCGCCATTAAAATTTCTTTTTTCTAAATACAAGAAAGTTATTTCTAAATCTAAGGAAATTTTTCTTAAGTCAAGAAAGTTTTCCTTAAATCCAGGAAGTTTTTCTTAAATGTAAAAAAAGGTTACCATGAACTAAAATCACCCTAAAATCTAGAAAAAATGCCCTTAAAATTAGAAATTATTTTCTGAAAAATAGAAAGGCAAACGAAAATAATAAAATATTTTGGCAACACCTTTTCTAAAAATTAGTGCCCTAACCCTAAAATGAAACCAACCCTAAATAATAGAAACATTTTCTAAAAAGTAGAAATTTTTTCTAAATAATAGAAATATTTGTTTTCACATGCTCTGGCACACCAAAATGTTCAATGCCAGAACTTGTCAGCTGCCGGCCGGCTGTACTCGTGGCGCAGACCGTTAAAGCACTTGGTTAGCAATCGAATCGACGCGGGTTCGAGTCCCAGAGCAAAATTTTTTAACCCTTTTTTTTATGTTATTTTATTTTTTTTAATTTATTTTATTTTCTTTTTATTTATTTTTTTACTTTTTTTATTGATGGCAAGCGGTAAACTAAAAATAATTAGGTTTATATTCAGCTATTTACTATATACTACACATAATATAAATTGCGTTAGCATAAATATATACATATGTATATACGTATGTAAATAAGTAAAACGCGAATGGTCAAAATTATGCAATTAGTATTCAAATGTGTTGTCCGCTTCACCCTTTACATACATTGCTCGGTTTGCCACAGCAAGTTTAAGTGCTACAATGGCCCAGTATGTAGGCCATTCGCTCCTCGCGCGGGAGACCCGGGTTCGATTCTCACGACGGACAAGTAAAAATTGTAAGTTTTTTTCATGAATATAAAATATTAACTAATCATAATTTCTACATTCCCAATCTTCCGCAGTCCCGTAGTCTACATTTACAACCACATTTGGCTTTGGTTAGATAAGAAATCCAAGCGCAAATACATAATAATAAATACATAACCTTTAACATTCACAATATACATGACACACAACGCCTGCATATGTATATAGGGAGGAGTACATAATATAAACGTATATACAAAAAAAAATCATGATTGAACATGTTTTTTTGTTTTGTTTTTAATTTCTATTTTTTAGGAAAATTTCCTAATTTTTAGAAATTTTTGCCCTTAAATTTAGTAAAATTACCCTAAAATTTAGAAATATGACGTCAAAAAAAATCAAAAATATAGAAAAATGTGACCCTAAAATTTAGGGCGAGCTTGTCTTGAAGACAAAAGTAGGGCGATTTCCTTGACTTTAGGGTTAATTTTATTTTGAGTGTAGGGCGGTGATATTGGTCACAATAAAATGAGGAGTAACCAAGCAGGTCTGATGAATATTTTTCTGATATTGAATTTGTTTGTATCGTGATTTACGAACCCTGCATGGCAATAGTATTCACAATCCAGTCCCTGTAGTGCTGTACATTTGTGTAAACAGCGATGCCACTACAAAATGAAGATCCATAGCTGACAAGGCCGAATAGGAAAACGCGATCAGTTTTGCCCCCACTAACCTTTGCGCTCAAAGGACCCCCTGAATCGCCATTACATGTATCGCTATGTTCACCGCCAATACATAGTTGCGATGCATCAAGTTTTGTACGAAATTTATCATTGCAATGTATAGGATTGTGAAGTTTTAGAGTTGTCGTTTGCAGTACATTGCTTGTTTCACTTGAATCAGTTTTCCCCCATCCCGTGGCAGTAAATTCTCGAATGTGACTTCCAACTGGACGATCGACGGACAGACAAATCGGCCTGATATAAGCTTAAGAAAAAGGTTTCTCATTTGGGATTTCCTGTTTGGTTTTACAATTTAGTTACCTGAAAAAACCACCTCCGTGGCCAATCGAAGCAGTGCTATATCATTCTGATAGTATTGGAATTGAGGGTGGATAAATTGCTGCTCGATGTCAATCAATTTTCGGCTGGATAAGCAATCCTCACTCCTGCAATTTCTGTCATATTCGCCCAAGCTCACCTGTCTGCAAGTAACAGCAATTTTAAAATTTCTTTTGCACTCACAAACGCATTTACTTACTTGGGCGAAGAGGAAATACAGCTCGCCGAAGTCAAGACGAAAACTGAAATAAGATCGAAAACAAGAATTAACTAAAACTTATCTTAAATAAAGTGTTTATTGAACTACTTACGAGACGTTATGAGCGAACCGCCACATACAAACATATTGTCTTTTCCAATCACCATAACCATCCAGGGGTTCTCAAATCTGTTAGCATCATGGCCTCCTACAACCCGTCGAATTCTTGAGGGGTGCTCAGTTGTCCCACAATTCTCAGTTAGCAAAGAAGCACTCCCTTGGCTTGCCCCGAGAAATAAACAAGCTAAAGAACAAGCAATTCCTGCTATGAAGACCTTCATATTAAAAATGAGACTGAATACGTTTTGTAAGCTCTGCTTCTTTATATGTGTAACCGCTTATCATCATAAGCAAAATGGAAATATTTTTATATGACTAAGGAGAGTGTGCGAAGGCGACTACTATATATAGCCGCAGAATTGAAAATCTGCTGTGATGGTCCGATCATAATGAGTGATACACCAATGGAAAGGTATCGCAAAAACTAACAGGATTGCATACCAAGACTTTAAGAAAATCAATTGGCTTCTTTTACCTCGTTAAAAAGTGTTTTTATTTGATTTCACATAATAGAGACAATATATGATTCAGATTTAAATGGTAATAAAAATTTCCGGTCGGTCAAAAGTGGGTTTACCACTGATGAATTTATATATTATTATAAATCTCCTTAATATAATCCAATTTGTAATATTCATGCCTAGCTATTTAAAATACAATGTCACAATTAAAAGATTGTTAAAAACCACATATAAACCACATACATACATTTCACATTAAATTCAAAGTACGTATTTGGTTTTGAAATGTTTTTCAGGGAGTCTTATCTTATTTGACCCAGAAATGATTACTAATTCCTTTTTAGTTAGCCATTATGTTTATTCTAATTAAACGTGCCTATATTCGTGTCACGCTGCCAATACTGTCGTGTGTTAAGTTGGCCGTAAATACTTTTGGCCTCGCCTGGTGTTTGGCATTTGGTGTCTGCTGTCTGCTGCTGCTGCCCAAGTGCCTGGATACTTGGATGCTCGGATGTTTGGGTGCTCTGGTGTCTTACCGTTCCTCGCTTTTTGGCATCTGCTCTTTAGCCCTAAGCTTCGATTCGCATTCGGTCGCTCGTTGGTTCGGTTGTTCGTTGCTTTATGAAATATTTGTGCTGCAACTTTATTTACAATTTTTTCGGTTATTTATTGTTGGCAATTTATGCTTTCGTTATGCATTTTTCGTTTCTTGTATTTGGTCAGTTCTTGCATTCTGATTTATTGGTAGTGGTGTGTGCTTTTGTGGGCGTATGTGGAGCCCTGCGTGCTTGTATTGTCCATATTGAAATGAGCCCACACACGCACATCCCCAAAAATGTTCGTATGTATGTGGAAACCAAACAAGTTGTGAAAGAAATTTTTGGCAATGTTGCTAGAAATTCGAGTAAAATTGCATATTTCTTTTAATTGCAGCATGTGCTGCCATGGGTCAAAAATTAGTGGGTGGAAATGGAAATAGGGCATGCCAGTGGCGTACTCTTTAAGGGGACTTATATAGTTTCGGGTTTTTTAATTATCTATAGAAAATAAAGCAGTTTGATTATGTTTGATCATAAATAGCACCTTTATTTTTCCCCAAACCAAATAGATATTAAAATTTTAATCAATAAAAATGTGTTGTAAAATTAAAGCACTGTCAAAGAACATATCCTTTGGAAAAAATACTTAAGATTTAAAATCAGTGCAGATACATTTTTTGTGGCTTGTTTTTAAAACTTAATTTTGAAGCACACTTTTTGAGTAGCACTTTTTTTTTTACTTTTCAGTCGCGCGTAATAAAGAATTTAATTTAGCCCCTTAAATTTTGTTATTTATAAGAACGCCACTGTTTAAGTGGTTGAAAGTTTTCTTAGTACCTCCGACATATTTATTTTTCATTTTCAATATTTATGCTGTCTGCCGAATTTTTGGGCAATTGTTTCTGGCATTGTTCTTTCGCTTTCTTGTTTTGGCCATGGACAGCCTGCAATCAAAATCAAGGCACTTGAAAGATATATCCCCAAATTGAACATGACACATTTGTTCCGCTTCATTTGAAGGTTCATAATGAAGGGGTCCAATCTCAGTTTCTGCTCAGGACGAGTGCCAATGAGAAGCAAGTTAAATTGCAATCCCGCAATCATCATTTCCTGCTGGCTAGTGTAATTAAAGTACCAAAAAAGAACCGAAAAACTAGGCATACGAGAAAACTCTTGAAATCTGCTCTTGATTGAACTGCACTAGTGCATTTGTCAGCAAGCAGATGCAGATACAGATACTCGTATCTGGATTTGTAAGTACATTTCAATGCAATTTGTGCAGTGATTTTATGACTTTTATTCTCTGCGCTGTCCACATACATAAATTCCAAACTGTTTTTCCTTTTTTTTGTTGTTTTCGCTTCGACAGTCATCATATATCAATGTCGTTGCAATTGATAATGGAGTGCAGCTGGGTATAAAAATCAAAAGCTGGCCACGGGGCAAACATTTGATCTGACATTTGTTGTTTTCTTGTCTTTTGTCTTATTTATGTTTATTTACTTAATGCCAAGTTATCGTATTTAAATCAAATATTTGACTAAAATATTATTTCTCATAATAAGAAAAATGTCGAGAGCCTTGAGGCCACTCTCTATGCGTTTTGTGTGCGTTTTGTCGATTTTAAATGGAAAATAATCAAGTTATCGTTCGCCGAAGTGGCCGTCCATTGGCTGTCAATCTGCGTTTAAAATGCCTCTATACGGATTTTTGCATTTGCCCCCTGACTCCGCCACTTCCCGCCACCCCGATGGCAACTGCAATCAAAATTGCAAATACAATAATATGAAAAGCACAATGAAATAAATTGAAATACCTCAAGCTATGTAAATGGGCCAGCTCCGGCGACTGGGCAGCGGTGTCCTGGGCACGCACACGTTGACCCCCAGAGCCAATGCCAAATACACACTCGTCCCCGCAGCCCCCCAACCATCCAACCGCCCAACACACTCCCAAATCGGACAGGCTAAAAAGAGAAAAAGGTTGCCAACCCCCACATTTGGCTTTTGTTGCGCTCTCGGCCAGGGAATTTTAGCCCTTACTCAATCAAATTGTTAGCCAAATGAGGAAAATAGTTTTAATTTCCTTATTCAGAGTAGATTTTTATATGGTGCTCTGAAAGAATGTAAATATTTTAATATCTACTTTTAATTAGTACTTTTTTCGGGCAGTAACTGAACTTATAAAGTAAATATGTTTTGGAATAATTTTTAAAATTTGATTGAATTATTTTGTAGGTTTTATTTAAAGGTCTAGTAATGTGTTAAGTCTTTATCGATCGACTAAATTATCGCTTAAATAATCTTTGCAGTTCAAACTTCTCAAATTAAAATTAATACTAATATCAAAAGTAATTAAATTGATTAATACTTGTTACAGAAGTCTCACCTTTTGGATCTCATTTTAAAAATATTTTTTTCGCAGTACAAAAGTACCGGGGTATTGCCTCTTCGTTACGAACTCTTTGGCCATCCATATTCCTTTATTTTTTTTGGAATTGCTGATGGGGGTCTGAATGCTGTTGCTGTTGGTGGTGGGACGGCCTCGTAATCAGCATTTGTGGCGCTCGAGGTCATCCGCAAAGTCTGCAGGCTATGTCGGAGTCGTTGTTGCCGTCTTCGTTGTTGTTGTCGCGTTGCATGTGCCACAGCAGCAGCGGCGGCAGCAACAACGAGAGTTCCGTATGACGCCGCTTCATCTTCCTGTTTGTGGCCGTGGGCTAAGTTCTGGGTTGGCTGGAATATTATAATTACAAGCGAAACAGGCCCCAGAGCTCTGCTCTCCTCTGTTTCGGCCCAGGCATCAGCATCAGAACAGCTTTGGCTTTGGCTCGGGCTCGGTCTCCGACTGAAGTTGTGGCTGTGTCGGTACACTGGACTAAAAATCATGTCAAGTTTTCTTTGTATGCCTACAAATGAATCCTTTTAGAATCATTAATATTTGTATTTATTTTTCTGCACATTAAAAAATAATAGCTATTTATTCAAGATTGTTAAATAATTCATGATTCTCAAATAAATTCTTAAAAATTCTAGTTTACAAAGTTAAGTTTCTATTTGAAAATTCGGATTTCAGTGCTTACCTGTATCTGGAGCCTTAGCAGCCATGGCGACGAGGTGTATAAATCGGCGGGCAGCGAGTGGGAGTGGGAAAGGATGCTCGGAGATCCTGATACCCAAATGAAGTTGAACCAGCGCCAAAGGTGTCCGCGCTGACGTTGTGACAGTTTCAGTTACCGTCTATCTGAAGGAGCATGTGGGTCTTAAGGGGATGAGGAGGGGGAGTGTGTGTTGCAGCGAGTGTAAGCCGGTTGCATGTGGCTATGTCGTACAGCTGTTGCCAACTGCCACAGCTTGTTGACTGACTGACTGACTGATACATCCGAAAGGCCGCAGATGAAGAGGTCTAAGCCGGGCTCAAACAACTTCATTTCGTCTGGAGTTCGTGTGAAAATTATTGAGATACATTTCCCCCAGCGATGGACACACGATGGTCGAAAACCAAAAGTATGCCCCCGCAGCAGTTTTAGCCCCCTCCACGGCCCTTCTACCGCTCCTCTAAGCGGCGGACATTGGCGATTATCTTGTCCACGACTGTGAAACAAATGAGCGTCGTAGTCGCACTGAGCCAGAGATATTGCCCCAGGACATTTGCCGCATTGTGGCTTCAAAGAAGATAGGTTTCGGTTTGGGCTCTCATCTGTATCGGTATCCGTAGTCGTATCTGTTTCTGTGAGTGTTTCAAGGCAAGCAAAAGAGTTCCCACATTCCATGTATGGGAGAATATCGCCCTCAGTTCGATTGGCATCTATTTTGGTGGGGGCCTTCCAGCCAAGTTGGCTTATTTGCGCCCTGGGAGGCTTCGACTATATGAACAAGCCCGCTAATGGTCGATGGTTTGGAAATTAAACGGAAATGGGTGTATCTAATTAACATATCCAATAAAATGATAATTAATTTTAGGCTTGTTTAAAGCTTGAGTAATTTACAAATGAATGTTTGTGATCCATTGGACTTGGTTCTTCAGTAGTATGTTTCTTCTTACTACTTAATTTTATCAAACAAAATTACGAAAAAAAACCAAAAAAAAGTGTTATATGTTGAAATTACGTACTTAAATTCTAGGAAGAAAAGAATGAAATAATGTGATATTCCCAAGTAAAGCCCAAAGTCCCATTCCAAGAAGTGATATTTCCAAAAAAAACCCATTGTTCCCCGGTCTGCCGAATAAATTTAACGGAAATAAGCGAATCGAATTAAAGTACTGGTACTGAAATTCGAGGAAGAAAACAATGAAATAATGTGATATTCCCAAGAAAAGCCCATAGACTCATTTCAAGAAGGAAACAAGTGATATATATTATTATGTTATAATTCCCCTTTTTCAGTTATTAAAGTTAATGCGGTATAAAAAACATTACTTGCTATATTAGCGTTATCAAAAAAAAACAAGAAGTATATGATACAAAATCTTTTCTTAGATCAGAGGTAATAATTTTTAAGTAACTGAACAAGTTTTGATAAATTTTATAAAATCAGGCAGTATTGCAAATTATGTTTGGAAGTACTCCCCCTGATTGGCTGTTTTTCGCCAACTTCTACCTCTAGAGGCGAGTTGAGTTTCGTTCTTGTCAGGCCAGTGGGCAGATTTCATATTCGGATAGTGAAAGAGGATGGCTGAGAATAAGAAATCGCCCGTCGGCCATTCGCAAGTATCTTCGCCCCTTTCGCTTCGCAGAGTTGTGTTGTGTTTACGTTGTAAATGGTTGTTGCAACTACCACTTCCCATCGGCCGCTCTTTAAGCCGATTTCTGGGCCTCGAACAAGTTCGATGTTGGCTGTTGCTGCTGCCGAGAAGTATCTGTGATTTACGAGCGTCTTTAGCCGCTCACAAAAATATTTTCAAATTACACAAATTGTGCCATGCGGGCCAAAGTTGGGGAAGTATCTTCATCCCCGGGGGTTAAGGCCACGGATTAGTCGGCCTGGGGCCGTGACATTTATCCGATGTCAGAGCCACGGACCATAGACTACAGAAGGGGTGGTGCAGGTGGGCAGGTGGATAAAGAATGGGTATCCACTGTTTTTCCACTCCGCCATTCCTTTGCGGACAATGGAATTTCAATTTACGGGCGACGGAATGTTTTTGCAACACGCGCTGGCAATTTAAATTTATGCATGAACATTTTCTAATACCACTTAGAATAACAGAAATAATTTATTATTTTTAACACTTTACAATTTCCGCGCACTCCGCATGTGTGTGTGTGTTTATGGGTTTTCTGTTCTATTTTGGCAAAACAACAAAGCTTAATATTTGTTTTTCATTTGTTAGCCCGGCACCAGCTGGGCAAGGTGGGAAATGAGGGGCGTGGCAGCGCAGAAGAGGCGTTGGAGCGCGAGTCCTATTCAACACTTTGTTTGGGGAGCGAAAAACAGCAAAAATATCCATTTATAAATATTTTACAATAAATATTTCACCACGGAAATAGAACTGAATAATAGCGCGTTGCCGTTTTGTTATTGAAATGCAAAATATTTGATTAAAACTTCAATTTCGCTCGCTTATCAAAACGTGGAAGCTCTGAACAGACTCATCAGATAGTAGAAACACTTCATCGGCAGTCCAGAGTTATCTACCTTGGCCGCAAATCGGCTTTGCTCATTGACACTCTCGCTAACGTCCCACCACAGGATATAGACCAAGTAAACCACGGTGATCAGAAGAAAGATTAAGCTATAGGTGTGGTTGGCATCTGAAAATAGTTGAGAGGTTTTTAAAAATCCAATTTACCCTTAGAGCCCTTACCGATTAATTGCAGTATAAATTTGATCTTCTTTAAAGCCCAGGCCCTTAGGATTTCCTCGATATTCACCTTTTCAAGAATGTCGTCCGATTCCTTTTGGACAGGAACAACAGGTTTCAACCAACGATTATTCCGAGCAGCTCTTTCGAGAATTGCCCTGAAAGTCTCCTTTGGATTCTCGCAATATCTGAAAGATTCAAAATCGGGTTCCACAATATGTGGCTGAACTTCAGCCTTCTGAAAGTTGACCGTCGTATTTTGAGTTATTTCTTGGACTTCAGAGGTTTTCGGGACCGTGATAACTGGCTGGGCGCAGAGGGCCTGATTTTCTGAATCCGGAATCTTACGAGTCAACTGATGTGAGAAAATTATGATTTTTAAATTTATTTTATTTCCAAAATTACTTTACCTTTCGGTGGGGCTTTGAGTTAAGGGGTCCGATTACTTTTTCCGCATATTCCCTATTTTTTTTCAAGTGCTGCAACACAAAAAGCTTTTTAAATGATTTAATGTATGATACCTTTAAATACTTTTCTCCTTGAGCCGTCCATTACAGGCATTGAGGGGCTCCTTTCTCTGTTGTGACCAAGGTCCATCCTCTTGATTTGCTCTACCCGATTGCGTTTGCCAGTCCTTTCCCTATTTTGTCCGTTCTGCCCTTTGACCTCTCGACGAGTCCTGATGCCTCCATTAGACCAGTCGCTTTCATAGCCCCCCGACTCCTCTGGATCCATTAGTTGGAGCGAGAGATCGTAGAGATTCTTGCTGTTCGACTTGGAGCTGCGTTCCCGGAGGCTGGGCAAATCGGGTGAAGCCTTCAAATGACGATCTTCGATCCCTTTCACTGTATCAGTGTGAATAAATCCATTGGGTGCCACGGTTGTGCGACTTGTATAAACAGAGGTCAAACTGGTATTAAGAGAATTTTGATGAGGAGTATAATGTGTAGAGTTTATATGAAATACTTACGATTCAGCCACAAATTTCTTGGGTCTATATAGCTCCACAAGAGGTTTGTCGTTATCTCTGCAGAAATATAAGTAGTCGTAACTGAAAACTTTGCTTTTTTAAGGAAGTAATGACATGAACTTACTGTTTTCTAACGCGATATTGTGCCATTTCCCTTATCGATCACTTTTATTAAGAGGTGAGAAAAGAAAATAGAAAACTGTAAAATGTTGGATTGAAATTTTAGTGTTGTGCTGCGAGCGAGTAGCGAGTCGAAAATATATTTGATTTACTTTCCATCCATACGAATCGAATGTCAAGGGCTGCTGTGCTGTCGATTCCCTGGGGGCACATTTCACACATTTTCGCATTAATATGCAATTAAAGCGGAATAGTTGCAACTAGTTGCAGTTGCAACTAGTGAGCTGTGTTAGTTGCGCAGGCGCCTATCCTCGGGCGGTTCTCCACGACCCATCCTGGCGATCGCTCGGGGCTCTCCTTCAGCTTCTATCTCCGGCTGTTTCCGTCCCTCCGCTATGCCCTCCCCTTCCCCTTCCTCACCCCCTCGCCAACTCCCTTGGCCGCTCATCAAAGCGTCTAAGTCCTGCGGCAACATTAACACAGCGAAGCGCAAGGACCTCGCTGCCTCGGCTGGCGTCGCTGCCCGCCGCAGGACTCTTTTTCACGCAGCGACGCTTTTTCGTACAGTCATCGTGCAGCGAAAGCGGTTCTCATCCGCAGCTCCTTCAACTTGGTTCCGCACTTAGTACATAAGCCGCTGTACATAAACAGATGGTCACTGGGCGAAAAAAGTAGCAGGACTGCGAAGAATGGGGAGAGAATTATCTCAAAGTGGGGAGAACTACATTTGGATAAATATGAACAATTTAAAAAAATTTTTTTTTAAAAACTTCACATTTAATATTTAACATTTTAACTTTATTTTTAAACTCGTATAAATTGGCCCTTAAAAGTATGTTTATTTATACTTGGCAAATGTTTTCATTGTTTGGCATATTCTTTGGCATAATTTATTATATTCCGTTTAAAAAAACGCTTAAATCTATTATTTATTAAGATATTCTTAGCTTTTAAAAGTAAATACAGAAAATTTATTTCAATTATAATTTCCTCTAGATCTTTATTAATATGCACATATTTCTACGTACTGAACTACCTTTTCTGCAAGTGTAGCCCTTGCTGGCGGCCATTTGGTATGGCGCAACTAAAATGCAGTTGTTGTTGCTTTTTTCGCTTTTCGCCGTATTTGTCTTCTGCTGCTGCCGCTGCTTTGGAATTGTTGGCGGTTCTTTGCCATCGCCAGCGGCTATTTGAGGCAAGAAGTTGGCCGGCGGGCTCCGGCGGACAGCCAAAGCAGCTGACAGGACGCCAGACGATGACTTGACTCCGGCTTTGACTTGAAGAGTTGACTGCCATTCCCTTGCTGGCTTTAATTGCGTTCGAACTTCTCCAAAAAAAATAAAATAAAAATAAATGCACAAAATAAAGAATTTGAAAGCCAAAAACCGAAATTCAATTGTTATTCATTCAATTAGAAGGGGCGGTCTGGGCGGCAGATTATTTAGATGCCTCGAAACGCACTTTGATTTTGATTTTGTTGTATGCAACTGTCAGTTGCATGCACTTCCAAGCGAATGCATTTGCACAGAGATATTCAAAGGGGGCTTATATCTGTGGGTGGGTGGGGTAGAAAAGCTTCGTTTGTTGCGCTTATTCATTCGAATGTTAATTAAATTGTATTTAAACTGCATCGACTTTTGACATATGCCTCGGCTGCGTTGCCTGCTCATTGAAGCGCCTAATTTGATCAGAGAAAAAGTCTCGTTTATGAAATGCATATCCTTTGACTGGCGAAAATCAGCATTAATATGAACTCCTTCGTGGAAAGTAGAATTTAATGCCTATAGTATTTAAACATTTATCTGCAAATTAAGGGAAATTAAATTAAATTTATTCATCATTTATTCTACTTAAATAAGGGTAAATTAAAATCACGTAAATTCAAGAAAATGTGTTCTACTTATTTCACATCTTTTTGTCGCAGACGGGGGAAATGGCAGACAGGAAACGTCATCAGCAATGCGGCATGAGTTCCGTTAAATTTTTTGAATGCACTTCCTGCCGCACGGGAAATTAAAAGGCTGCCAATGCGGCGTATGTGTAATATTGGGGCACACACTCGGAGACAATGCTCCTCCGAAGCCTCTGAATGGCAGATAAGCGTAATGCTCACACTCGCCATAATCATAATAATAACAATGCCCGGCTCCACTTGCGTTTCGGAGTCATTAAGCCTCGTTTAATGGCCATTGTGTGGAGGAGAGCTCCTCCGATAGCTCCTATCCACTGCTGTCCCGCCTGTCCGTTTGGCCAATTGCTATGCATATTTGGCTATTAAGTGCAGCCGGGAGAGTGCGGGCGAAAGAGTTATCTTTAAGCCACTAAATTGCAGCCGATAAACGCGGCCAAAGCAGGCAGAATACTTAATGGCAGGGGGGTGCTTTGGCTACGGCTAGCCAAAACTTTTGGCCATCCCCAACCAACCGTATCAGCTGAAAGAAATTTTAATTAAATGTCGCCGCAAACGATGCGGTAATATGCAACGAGTCGAACGGAGTCGAGAACCAGAACCGAAACCCAATCCAAACCCATCGGTGTCGCACCGCAGGTATGGGGGCATTATTTTAGCGTTCAATATGATTGCAGCCTGGCGGGCCATTTGCCATTTGGCTCAATTTATCACAATGCCAGAGTGCCGGCCAAGCCGCGCCGCTTGACCAGAAATCAGGAATCAGAAATGAGCCTGAATCGGAATCTGAGTCGAGTGGAGCCCCATGACGCTGTCAAGCGCCTCGACTGCACTTAATACCGTTTTCCGACTGCCGTGAATTGCATTTCATGTGTCAGCGTTTTTAAGCGCTTTCACCCTGCAGCCTTTCTGGGTATTCCGATTTTGAGGATTCATATTGGGGTCCCCCCATTGACGGCTAATTTATAGAGTGAGAAATGCGCCGCCCCAAACGAGCGAACTGAGCTGAGCTATTTAATAAGCAAACAATGCGGGAGTAATGCGAAAAGAAATGGAAAATCCTTTGGCCCTTGAACTGCCCTGGGAAACGTGATGGGTAGCGATGGGCTGCCACGAGTTCTGAATGGGATTGGGCGGTGTTGGAGGTCACAATCACAGTCGCCTCGCAGCAAGGGGTGCTCGAAAGAGGTCCACAGTGGGTACTGCTTATAGTTCCTGATGGGTATTGCGACAATCTTTTATTTTCCCTTTGTTCATGATTTTCTTTTATCTTAAATTTATTTCTTAGCTGTATCTACTCGTAACATTCACAATCCACTCCATGTAGTGCGAAACGTTTGTGTAGAGACTGGGGGCATCACAAGTAAAGGTTCCATAGCTGATAATTCCAAATTGAAAGACCCGAATAGTATTTCCATAGGCTAGCTTTGCACTCAATGGACCTCCCGAGTCTCCAACGCATGTGTCGCTATCCACACTTCCTGCACATATCTGGGTGCCGTCATTTTGCGATTCATAAAACTCCATACAAACCGTGATATTAACACGGTTTATACTGGCTGTCTGCAGAATTCGGCTTGTTGGAAAATCATTCGTTCTTCCCCACCCAGTGACCGCAAACGATGAAGTAGTTTCTCTCAGTCGCTCATTGACAAGCAGGCAGATTGGCCTGATATAATCTAAAGAAATCCGTTTTAGTTTACAAAATCCTTATGGGCTATCACATTAAATTACCTGAGAAAGTCACTTTCTTGGCCAGCCGAAGCAGAGCAATATCGTTTTGAAGAGATTCTGATTCGAACGCAGGGTAGATTATACTTTCAGCGATATCAATATCGAAAGTACTTGGAATGCAACCCGATGGTGTGCAATCTGAACTACTTTCCCTGTCGTATTCGCCCAAGCGCACCTTTCTGCAAAAGTAAACATTTTGATTAGAATTTTTCAGCTAAATTCAGAGTAATATTATACTTAAAAGAGGCGGTATGTCCAGCAGTCAGTACAAAGCCTGAAAAATATTGCTAAAGGGTTAAATGAAAATATATTTCTATTTGAGAAACATACCCGAATTTATGAGTGAGCCGCCAGCAATGGAATCGCCCGAATTCGAATTATCGACCAACAGAACCATCCATGGATTCGATAATATATCCGCATTTTTTCCTCCTTTCATCCGCTTATTTCGCAGAGGATTCCTTGTTAATCCACAGTTATGGTCCAGTAATTCAGCCGATATTTCATAGGATCCGAGAAACAGGAGGACTACACCCAAAAAAAAGTAGTCATCAATATGCCCCTATTTAGGTGTCAATGTGACACTATTGAGTGGAAAAAAATCTTTGATCCGAACGTCATTAAATTGACCCTATTCTGGTGTCACTTTAATACTTTCGAAAATATTAATTTGACCCCTTTTGGTGTCAAAGAGCCACTAGCCGGTGTCATTTTCTTAGTATTAAATAAAATTTGACATTTGCTTGAAAGCTCCTGTAACCATTCTGCCATGGCAAAAATTAATATGGGAATGGCTCAGGGGCCAAGGCGCTTGGTTCTGATATTATTTTGTGCTCGGGGGAACGAGGTTCGAATCCCGCTCGCAACACCATTATTTTTTTTTTATCAGTAATCTAACACAACTTAACATTTTTGTTCTTAAAATGATATATATGCATTTTAAAAACTTTTTACCTACTATGATTTATCTGGGTTTCGAACCGGGGACCTCTCGCATCAGAGGCAGACGCCTTACCAACTGGGCCATCGAACCATTTTGCGCGCGAGCGAACTCTTGTCAAGTATAAACGAAATCGATACTCGAGTAAAACATCGCCGAACTTCGAACTTCGAAAATCAAAAATGATAATTATTGGGATCGATGTGAACCTAGTTTTATCAAAATGACACTATTTAGTATCAAATACGATTTTTCTGAAAACGCGGTGTACTTTTGACACTCATTTGGGAGCAAATTGACCCCAAAAATTTGATCCTAGGGGCAGTGTCATTTTAACCCACAGTTATTAAATTGACACTCAGGATTTTTTTTTTGGGTGTAGACAAAAAGCTATCAATACGAAGGCGGTCATCTCACAGCAAAGACTGAATAAATACTGGTGTGATTATTAAGACGGCTGTAGGAAATGAGGAGAATAATGCCCGGAAATACCGACCCGAACATTGTAGATTATACGGCAACAAAAACAATTAAATTATTATCAGGGCAGTTCAAGGTCCTAAAATAAATGATTAGGGAGCGTGATAAGAAATTGATTTTTAGGCCAAAGGAATAGTAGAGGTCTTCCTTTCTTTACCTGACAGATATTACTGTACCTTTTACACGTTGAGTTCAAAAATTCATCATTGTTGGCTGCTGCTGCATTGTTGCCAAAACCCGCTGCTGCTGCTGCCGCTCCGCCCGCCCCCTCAACGCCCGCCACCCCTTGCCCTGCTGCCCAGCTCCCCCACTTACCGCAAACCGAAACTGACTGATGCCTGGGAGCTACTTTTGGGATGAAATATTATAATTACAAGCGAATGTCCCGCGGCCAAGGAGGAGCAGGAGCAGTGGCGGGGTTTCGGGGGGATCTGGGGGCTCTGGTTTCCAGGGGGGATGGAGCGACATCAGCCAAGCATCAGGCAGTCCAAATCGTAACTCTCGCTGGCTCTCTCCTTCTCTTTCTCCTCCTCTGTCTCTGTGTTGTGTTTCTGTTTCTGTCTCGTTCTGTACTTTGGTGGGTTCGGTGTTTTTGCCCTTGGGGTCTTCGGAACCCCAACCGCCCCCCTCGTAATACCCGATCCCAGCTTCTTCTTCTTATTCAGTCGCAACATGTTGGGACGTTGTGTTTATATGGTCGCCTGCCGGCAAAAACGGTCGCTGATAATTTAGATGCCTGGTTGTGATAAGCCTTGAAAAGTGGTTTCAATGTTTCCAACATGTTTGATGCGGCAACAGTTAGGAGTGGGTGGTTGGGTGGTTACTCCAAAAAGGGGGAAGGTTGGAAGCGGGGGCCCACCCATTATTAATTGCAACTCAATGGCTTGCAGGTATTTATTAAGTTTTTGTTTCATTTCTAAAACTGGCATTTCCATGTATATTTGTCTCGTCTCATTTTCACTTATTCCATTTCATATTAATTTAGGGCGCGTCACACACACTCACATATCTGCAAATACATACGCCTGTCAGCTTTATTGAAAATTAGCCTGCAGTTAATTTGGCCTGCCATTAAATTTCTACCTACCTACATAAGCCCCTTGTCGTTCTGTGTCCGAAAGTAATGCATGCAGATTATAACTTAAATATGAAATGTCACGCATTGACAGGCATATTTTTGAAAAGTGTGCAGCAGCAACAGCAAGTTTTACACCTTGGGGCCAATCCGTTTATGGACCTGGGCTGGAGTCGGGGTCTCGGAGAGATGGATATGGATACGGACTCTCGGATCAGCATCTCACGCCATGGGTAGCCGCAGCCACAAAAGGCAGGCCACAGCAACAGAAACAGGAATTTATGAGGCCTTTTGTATTTGCTCCGAGGCGAAAGTGTTCGAGGGGGGATCGAAAATTGGGTTGGGGCCTGGGTTTGGAAATGGTATTTGGACTGTGTCTCTGAAACGGAGACCCCAGGGATGACAAGGGTCACATGCCAAGTGGGGCCAGCAAAGAAAGGGGGTACTACATTAGTTTGGTTTCAACTACCAGAGGCCTAAATAGTTCATCGGTTTATCAATGTGAATGGAAGAAAGCTAGATTTTAGGGTTAATTTAAATTGGTTAAATATTGTACAAAATGTTTTTGCTGCTGAATTTTTATCTTTGTTTGTATTTACCACATTGTTCTGAAGACATATAAAAGTAGATAACAATTCTTAAAAACCACAACATAAATGAACCTCAAACCAAGATAGGTAAATTTGGTAACCATTTGCACAAGTTACAGACATGCTAAAATTTTTAATTATAAATTTAAATTTAATTCTGATTTTAAAATAAGAAAGTTTATGTTGTGTTAAAATAAATCTTTTACAAAAATCATCAGTTCCAAAAATCGTAATCTATTTATTTAACTACATGATACTGTATATGAGTTCTAAAGAAGAATAACTCCCAGAACTGAGACATTAAAAGATCTTAATCGTTATTCTTTTAAACGTTTTTGATTTTTTTATTTGAATGGGTTAAAAAGTGAGCAATGCAATTATGAACTATTTGCCACTCCTGGCTGGTTGAACCATTTCCTGAACAACTGATTCTGATTCAATTCCGTGGACTGGTCACAGCTTCCGTTTAATTGAGGGACTTTCACGCATTTCGCACGTTTTTTTCACCTGCCCACCCGTCTAAATGCTCGAGTGCAGTTTGTGTCTGTCTGGGTGGGTGGATGGGTAGGTGGGTGAGGTGTAACAGATGTCTGTAAATTGCTTTACTGACTGACTGACTCGCCAGTTGGCTGTTGGCGGTCTCTTAACTGCTGCTGTTGCTCCTGTTTGGTTTGTTGTCAGTCAAAGTGTCAGTATGTATATGCCTCGCTTGCAGGTGTGAGTGCAGGTGTGGCTGTGGGAGTGAGTATTACACTTATAACTGCATTAATACGAGCTTATGGTTCACGGAATCGGGACGAGCCACTAGTTGTTGCTGCTGTAATCGCTGATGTTGCTACTGTTGCTGTTGCTGCTGCTGCTGCTGCGACTGTTGTTGTTGGCTCAACATTGCACATACAACCGTGCAACGCAGCGGCATTTTGCTTACAGGTGTGCGGCATTCGCAGCTTGTCAGTGTGGCCGCGTTTAACGCTACACTTAAACAAACAGCCGCGTGCGTACACAAACATCCCACACACTCATACACACACGGACGCGGCGAGTCGCGGAAGGAACAGCAACAACAACTACAGCAACAACAACAGGAACAGGATGGCCAGGATGTGGCCGCCTATTAAGTGATTTTAACACTTTGCGCATGAAAATTGCAAAAAGGCAACGGCACGGCGTTGATAATTATCCCTTAATTGCTTAATGAGCGGCACTTGAGCAGCGCCGTCGACAGAAGCGACGTAAGTTTAATTAATGCCAATTTAATTACTACACCACACACACAAGCACACGCGTGTATTTGTATGTGCGACTACTGGGTGGCACTTAAATGCCACATTTGCCGCAAAGGATTTCCACTTTGTAGGTGAATTTTAATGGCTTGGCCCAGACATAAATATCAGTTTATCTTTAGCTTTTATTAATAAGTATTCATTTATTGGTAAATTATTCTTTGGTTTTTATTTATTATAACAACATTTGGAATTTTTTATTGTTAAATTTATCCTTGATAAATTCATTGTTATATTTTTATTGGGCATTTATTTGGTGCTTAATTCATCAAAAATTTATCCTTAATGTTTTCATTTTGTATTTTAATAGATGAATTAATCACACAGAATTCATTGCTGAATTATCATTTTTTAAATTTGTGAGGATCTTATATCGAAATTAATATTAATTGCATTATTAAATTGATAAAATAAAGTCTTTTGGTTCAGAATTCAATCCTATCGATTTCTTTCGGTTATTAATGCCTTTTGAAAGCCAAGAAATTAAAATACAATAAAAGATCGCCATTAAATCCCGCTAATTGCTTCCCACATATCTTGTTTATCTGACTGAGCGCTGGCTCATAGTTTACAGTTTCATAGCCATGGCGATAGTCGTCATGTTTCTGGCTTGGTTGTTGGCCGAATGTCTCTATTAGCCGGGGCCATAAGTTATTTGGTTGTTTGGCTTGATTAATGTTCACCTGGCCGTGTTCCGAGGAAAACTTAAACGGGCCACCGGAATCGGAGGGACTTGGGGTCTTGTCCAACCATTCGGACCTCGCTTTGTGGATTGTCAGTGGCAGCTTCGTTTGCGCTTTACCCTTTTCCCATTGCCGGATGGCCGGCGGCGGTCTCTTCTTCCAGCGATCTAATCTTGTTATTGCCCTGGCCTCCGTCTCCGGTTCCAGATCCAGCTTACCCAACACCCAGCTCCCAGCACCCAGGGCATACTCATAAAGATAGATATACACAAATACTCGTAGAGGAGTGATTTAGCTGATGTGCCAATTCAATTATTTCTACCTACATAGGATTTTTCCACATGGCACCGGCAAAACATATAAACGCCGATAAATGCCATACATACAAGCCATGTGGCATATAAAATAGTGAATGTAATTTTATTCACATGTCTGGCCGCAGGCCAATCCGCTTGGCCCGCCGGCAGCAAATTGCACAGCAACAGCAGCAACATCAGCAACCCCGGAACAACGGCGCACCTCTCCGTATCTCGGGTATCGGTCTTTCTTCGGTATAAATGTGTATATATATATATGCCACATTATATGCGGTGGGCAGGGGGCAGGGGAGCGGACCAGAGAGCTGAAATCCATCATTGGCGCATGGCCCCGGGTCACATTTGGGTTGAAATATTATAATTACAAGCGAACGCCCGCGGGCAAGGCAAGGAGGAAGGTGAACGAAGCTGAAGCTGGAGCTGTGGCGTCGAACATTGGCATCGCATCGCGAGCTTAGCCTGGCTAGCAACCACACTGAAACAAAAAGGGGAAGGTTGATATTTGCAACTATGAGAAAATATACCAATTAAAATGAAAGAAACCTAAAACTTATATTCTTCTTTAAAAAAAATGGTATATAAATAATACATAATACATTTTAAAAATGTATTAATCTTATTTTTTAGAGACACTGAGATTTAATTTTTTGATGGAATTTGTTTGGAAGATTTTTTCGGAGTTAAAAATATAATAAAAATACTAATGCAAGTCTCTAATAAATATCAAAAATATTGTTTTAAAATTTGTTTTCTGTTTGATGTATAGTAACATCTCAAGAGTTTTTCCCAGTGCACGGTGAAGGGGTTGGAGGGGGGAGGGGGTGGCGTTTGGACGGGCGATCGAAGTCGCCTGCTGCGGATATGGATACTTAGTTGTGGTGGTTGTGTTTACGTTGCGGCTGATAACATCCCGTGTTGCTGCTGCGCCAGATGTTGCTGCTGCCGCCGTGCCCGCGGCAATGCAACATGTTGCACGCAACACGCTCGACGCCGCTCGGCTTAGACCCCAAACAGGCCCCAAAACACAGTCTTTTCTCAACGGTGGCTCAGTGTGTTTGTGCTGATGGTGTTTGCTTTTGGCCTTTGACAACGTTAGCAGGTGAATACAACACAGTAGCCCAGTTGCTATTGCCACTTTTTTGCGTTTTGTTGTTGTTTGCTTGCTTGGTAACTTGTTGCACGGCACGTGTTTGGACAACTGTGCTGCGGCTGCGACAACCTGCCCCCTTAGTGGGCGGGGCTGGGGCAGGACCATCTGCAGCAAAGGATAACAAAAGAGTGGCATATAATTTAAGAACAACACCGAGTGACCGACCGGCTGCCTATAATTACCACAACTGGTAGCCAACTGGAATCACAGTTTTTGTCGCCCAAATACCCACTACGTCCGGCAGCAGGTGACAACCCTGGCGAAGGCAGAGGAACGGGGCCCGAAATGGAACCCTCATTATATGCAAAACACAAACGCACAGGGCCCGCAAGCCACTCAAAACTTAACTTATTTTTAACTTGCACATTTTCGCCCAGTCTCTGCAATATTCTCTGCATGGCCGCGGGCCATCTTAGTTGCATGTTCGAGCAATCCTTTCCGTTCCGTTCGCTCGTTCCACCCCAAAAAGCTGGAAATAAAGAACTGGTCCGGTCCTCTCCCATTCATAACTCGCGGCTATATCTTCTTTTGCGTTATATTTCCCTCATTCTGCTTGTCTTTGGATATCAACTGTCAGTTTTCGAGCTAAAAACGCCAGCGGGCTAGTTTGTAAATCATTAAAATTATGCACACACACACTCGCATACGTATCTCACATCCGCACACAGTTATTATGTGTGTGTAGAGAGACGTGTGTGTGTGTGTTTGGTTGGAGAAGTTGGCCAAACTGCATAGGAATCATTATGCAGTTAATGACAAATGTCACGCATTGCTAATGACAAAAGGATGTCGGCAATCGACTCCTGAACCCGCTCTCCTCACTCTTCCCTGGCAATAAGTGCCCACAATTAAAGGCATATATCAATTGGTTGCCACTCTCACAAGTGAGAGTCCAGCTTTCACCCAGCGGAAATCCAATAAATTAGACACATAAATACATTGAATGAAATTTATATACAAATTAACAAAATAAGATGGTGGGCAAAAGTATATTTAAATAAAATTAATAATTAATAAACTAAGTTCTAAAATTAAAAACATTTGAAAAATAAAATTCATTTATTGCACTATATTTTCCAACTTTATAATTGTGATAGACAGGTTCTTTAAGTGTTTTGATTCCATTAAAATAAACTCAACAGCAGGTAAATTAAATGTTTTAAGAGCCATTAAGATAATTTATAATGACATTTGGTTAATCAGAATGCTATTAACAGTAATTTCGAGACGCTCTTGAGTATAATGTTTTATTATTATACCTTTTTTTAATACATTTTTACTCATTTTAATAAATCTTTAAAACCGTTTTTATTGCTAACTTTATTATTTATTAAAATCTTAATATTAATCTCGCATTTAAAAATATTTAGATAATTTTTTAAATTTTCTTATTATTAGGTAAACATTTTTGGGTGGTTTTAGAAATGGACTTCAAACTTTTTCTAACTAAGCTTTCTAATTTTAATTGGATCTTCAATTATAAATCATTTTTTAATTTTTAAATCCTCGTTTCAAGCTAATTTAGTAGATTTTTTGAAGTTTTACTTAGTTGAGAGTGTCTATTTTTTGGTAGTTTGAATGGCAAACTTGGGTGCATTCCGCACTTTTCTAGCCTAAAATTTAAATTTAAAGGATATCGCCAAGCTGCGCTCTTTAAATAGCGTTATACAAACACTTCATTATGGAACGCATTGGCTGTAAAATGATTACCATTCAAATGTTAATGTAAATGTTGTGCCACATATGGATGAATGGCTGGCTGGATGGATGGATGAATGCCTGAATTGATGGTTGATATGTGGTCGCGTTTGCTGCAGTTCGGTCGTGCGTTAAAAATTTAACGCGAATTTCAGGCTGCGGCGGCAAAAATGGCATCATTAAGTAAAAGCCCCGCGGCCAGACATTGTGAATTTTATGAGCCTTTTCATATACACTCATATATATATATGCGAGTTTGTATATATGGGGGCATGTTTTTGTTGTTTGCTCGCTGGGTATCGTTAATAATAAAAAATATATATGCCTATCTACATATATATTTTAAAGCTCACACACATTCGCCTGTGATGAGCCGTGCACACATAATAGTAATAATAAAAAATCACAATAATGACGATGGTGCTGATGGTGTCGGCGGTCGGGGAGCAACAAAAAATCTGCGGAAATTCTCAGCATATGCTGTGGCATTTAAATGTTTGTGTTTTCCCATTCAGCATTCATCATGATGATATTGATTGACAAGCAAATGCACAAGCCTTGAATAAATATGCAAGCGAAGGGGCGGTCAGTCCGCCGCAGGGGGGGCGTGGCGCTTGGGCTACTTTAAAAAGCCATCAACAAATAATTACAAACGAGCGGAGGAAGTGTATAAATGTCGACGCTGATTTCTGAGCCGATGCGAGCATTCGTTTTTACCCATTTCCATTTATATATGTAGCATATATATGAATCCTGCAGCGGGACATCCCTCCCCTCCTGCCACTCCCCCTCACCGCCCCCTCCACCCACTGCACTGCCCCCGAAGCGATCCAAACAATAAAGCATAAAGCGCGCCGCACACATTTTGTCGAATTATTTTGTTGGCAGTCCGCTGGCGGCTAACTGCAGCAAATTGGCTTGAAATATTGGTATTGCCATATGTATGAGTTCGTATATGAGTGACTGAATACATACGACACTCCGCTCTCTGCGTTTGTGTGCGTGAGCTTGTGATTAAAAAAATATTTAAAATGGCAAAAACGCAAAGCGACGTCAAAATAAAGGAGCCCGCTCTGCCATTTCCCATCTCCGCCGCTAGAAACAATAAAAGCACCACCCACCCCCTTTCCATCTGAGTGAGTGAAATGAGCGATAAAATTGCAACAATTTCCACTCGTAGTAGGCAGTGGCTGCGATAAAAGATGAAAAATTGAAATGCCAGTGGTCGCAGGCAACAATTAAAATTTGACATGTGTTATAAGCGAAACTTTAGGGATTTATATACCTATAGTTGCAAAATTGGATCGTGAAAATATATTTACGCTAATTTGTCAGTGGCATTAAATATTTAAGAACTTTAAGGATCAAAAATATTTTGCCAAACTAATAAAAATTATTAAAAATGTTTACATCATTTGTTAAACTCAGTGGCGTTTCCAGGATTTAGTTGAGTGAGTTTTCAGTACTAATTTTGTGTACCATATTTTTCAAAACGGTTTGGGGGTGGACCTAAAAAATGTCTTTTTATTAATATTTCTATTTAAAGAAATTAATAATAGTTCTGCTGAGATGAATAACCAACACAGTCACGATACCATCGCTAAGACAGATCGCTATTTCTGCAGCGGGAAAATAAAGCGAAATATTATTGTGGCGCATATACTTCAAAATGAATTTGGCCGGGGGGCAAATAAGCGAGAGCATTCCGAAACAATTGCCAATGAAAAATGATGCGACACAACTCTCGGCAGGGGGTGTTTTCGCCCCGCCACCACCCCCTCGGGCATTTTTAGCCAGCGAGTGGGTGGAAAGTTCGCACTCATTTTAATTACAGCTGCCTAACTGCAGGCCTCACTGTACTCGCTCCGCTCCGCACTTCCCATCCCCATTCCCATTCCCATTCCAGCCTGTGTTTTGAAACACGACCTGCGGCGTATTTATCACAAGTTTTTCTTTGCATTGCCGCGGGGCAACAAAATATTTCAGCTGCCTCCGTCGCTCAGTCGCTCCTCGAATGCCCCGGGGGCAATTCAGCCCGGCTCAGCTCAGCTCGGCTCGGCGTCCCATTGCCCCGTTCTTCGTACCGCCGACGGTTCTGCTGCTGCTGCTTCTTCAAAGTCTCTGGAGCTGATGCCGCACAAAGTTTCATTTCGTTTGGCCCGCGGGCCCAGCGTTCTATGCTTTGTCATTAACACAAACACGCACAGAGGCAGGCGCACCAATACATAGACCGACTGCCGGGTGTCAGCTGTACATGCACCCACACACCCACACAAATACATATGGCCAAGGGCAACAAAAACAAACAGGCTTTGATATTTACAATTATAGAAAATCGGGCATATAGAGATGTCCCCCATGATTAATGCAACTTATGGGTTAACATTTTCAGTACACTTGACAAAAATAAAATATTTAAAAATTTTAATATAATTGATAGAAAATGTACTTCTTAATTTCAAGTTAAAAGTTTATTGAGTAAACAAACCCCTCTCCAAATTATTCCCTGAATATAAATAACTGCCAAAGAAAGAAAAATTTCTACAAACTGGAAACGTTTTAAAACTTTCAAAAATTTTAGATACAATTGATATTACCCCATTTTAAATGTTTTATTTTGTATTTTAAATCTTAAGACATTTAGAAGGACTCTGATTTTTATTTCGTAAGTATTTTATCTATCAAAATAAAACACATGTACTATCAGATACGATGCCTTGGAGTTAAAAGCAATGTTTTCCAAGTGCTGCAACTCTAATTAAATGCATCGATTTATAAGGCAAGCGAAAGCATTTCACCCAAGCCAATTGTTCTATTTACAGTTACAATGTTAATTGCGGCAGCTTAGTTGCAGGCCACAGGAAAACAAGAACAACAAAGGCCAGAACGGACCACTTAAACCGGAAATAGACTATTAAACGTTCACACACACACATACATATAAAGTCATCACATGGTGCGAAAGCCAAGCAGCTAAACAACAAACGGCGCTCTCTTTCTCTCTGCTGTTGCTGCTGCTGCTGCTCTCTCTCAAGGTCGTCGGCTCAACACAGAAGACGCCAAGCAACGAACTCCACTCCACCCGCAACAAGAGGCAACTCGAGCAGCAACACGATACAACACGCAACTGCAACGACGACGCAACACGGAACACACGGCAATAGCCATTTGCCATCCATCAGCCAGCGAGCAGATTCAGATACTTTTTAACTTTCGACGCGAATGCAAGTGAGGTAAATTGAGCGCTCAAAAGTAGGCAACACTTAAGTCTAACGGTGAACGGTGAACAGTGAACAAGCGGAAACGGAAGTGAACTCTCGTTGGCGCGCGCACTTTATTGAACTTGAAAACGCTCATCTGAAAGCAGCCAGCGATCAGCAACTCAAAACAGGCAGATAACATATCGAAGAGAACCACAGATCTGAAAAAACGAACAATATTTATCTACGCGCGCGTTGTAATAAAAAAGAGTTAAAGTGCATTTCCTAAATATTCCAACCTTTTTGTGAGTTCCGTAAAAGTTGAAGATAACCGGGAGTTGCAAAGTACTCCCCTGCTTAAGTTGTTATGATTTGTAATCTAAAAACCCGAATTTAAATTGATCAGTTTTCAAAATAAATTAAACTTTTAAATAGTTCTCTCTTAAAAGCTTAAGATTAAAAGCATCGAAGTATATTTTAAATTTGTGCCTTCTGGTATAGTCTCAACTTATTTATTTGTTTATTATCAATTCCATTGGGCGTTGCTTATAAAAAAGTTTTGACATGCTATTATCCACAGAACAATCTATAAATAAATTACCAATTTACAATTAAATACCTTTTTTTTGTTTCCTAGCTTGATGAATGTTAAAAAAATATATTTGATTTATTTTTTAAGGAGTTCTTTTTAATTAATTAATTTCATAATTCAAGATGCTTAACCTTTAAAATGCTATCGTTAAAATTTTAAACTAATATATATTTTCTGTGGTTTTCTCGCCCAAAAACAGAACTCCGTTTGTTGCATTGGATCAACGATCGCCGTTGACGGTGGATTCCTCCTGCCCCAAACGGTAAGCGAAAACTGAAAACTTTACATTTGCAAAATGCCCCAAAAATCCCAGCCAGCAAGCCAACCAGCCTTCGAGCTGGCCAATAAATTAGTTTAAAAAAAGATTCTGTAATAAACGAATTTTTGACACACAACAGCATCGACAGTCCAAGTTGCAGGCCACCCGATCTCTCCCTTTGGTTTTCGGTTTTGGCCAAAAGCGCCGCTGGCAACTGATTTCGTCTCTCCCACATGCCAAGTCAGAAATTGTGCGCCATAAACGAAGACTGTTTAAAAAAAAAAAAATTATGCGCCTCAAGTGCTCTGTACCCGCACCAAAGGAGAAATAAACAAAAGTAAGAAGAGTAACCCGGGGAAAGGGAGAGGCAAAGGAAGCGGGCCTCGGCGACGGGGAGAAAAAATCATACAAAATTCGCCGCGGGCATTTTTGGGCAACCTTAGCCCCCGGCTGAGTTATGTGTGCAGACGAGAACGAGTCGCATTATTTTTTCTACCTTAAAGGCTATAAAATACGAAGGTGCTGGTGGTGCTGGGCGGGGGTCGTGGGTCGAGGCGAAGGAGGGGGCATGACCGACCGGTTGTATTGTGGCTGGTCGAAAACTAAGCGGCCAAAAGATGACCCCCGGGCCAAATACATACAGCACACTCGTACAACAAATTTTTGTTTAGCCAGCGAATCGACGGTCCGTGAGAGCCGTTCGTCCGTCCGTCCGTCTGTCCGCCAGTTTGTCCGTTGAGTCGGAGCCAAGTCAAGAGGCAAAGTTCAAAGCGAGAGCTGCAGTGTGCGGAATTGTATTCAAATAGGGAAATCACTCAGAAAAAAAGTTACAATATATCTAAAAGTAAGCAACACACATTAATCTGATAGATTCATAAAGAAAAAGTCGTTATTTTTTATGTTGCATACTTTTAGACACCTTTATAAGTGATTTTAAACACCCCATAATGAGTAGTTTTAAATCAGCAGCATTTTTAAATGGTCTTTAAAACATTGAATTCAAATCTTTTTGTTTCCTAAGCACCACTGATTTAAACTTATTTTTTCCCGTGCGTGCGAAGGGAGGAGCAAGGCGTTGACGACCTTCGCCTGTTGCCCTCTCGTTCTATACAGCCCTCTCTTTCATATGGAAGCAACTGGTTTTAGTCTTATCTCCTGGTGTTTCTCGCATTTTTTTTTTTGTTTTCTTGTTTTTTTGCATGCCAGACACAAGAGTTCCTTTTTAGGAGGCGGAGTTGAAGTCAAAGTCTTGTTTGTTTGCCTGTTTGTTTGGCTGGAGCCACAGCTCGCGACTCTTTGCCCGCATTGTCAGAGTCCCCTTACTCCCAGCTAATTTTTCATTCAGCGGATTCAGGCTCCAGCTACTTGGATTCGCATTTAAATTAACGGGCTATACCTGCTGCTGTTTGGGAACCGAACCAGCGGCAAAGTGATTTCCATTACGTGCCAATAGTCAAAGCCATCACTTGCTGCACTCGAATGGCTGAGGCTGTGGCACAAAAGCTCTTAACGCGCTGTGTGTTAATTAAGCTGCAATTCGGAATCATTACCAGCATCAACATTGCGCTGCCAATTTGCCACCAACCGAGTGGCAGGGCCATGGCAGTTGCTAGTTTGTGGCAGGGGGTACGACTTTTGCATATCGCTTGCATCAGAGGTCTGAAATATGAGCAGTCCTGTGTAATTAGAATTTTAGCTGCTTAAAAAGATTTTCAATATTTGAAATACTTCAGAAAAAATCAAATTTTGGATTAGTTCTATAAAAAGTATTTTAATTATAATGTCATATTTTACTTTATTATACATATTTAATTGCATAATGATACACACAACATAAAACTATAAAAATATAGAAAGTACGTTTAACTAATTGTAAATGATATTTTTTAGAAACTTCATTTTAGTTTAAAACTACATGTTAAATATGAACCTTTATATCCTTTTTGTTACTATCTATTCGTACGCTCCCTTTCTAAATCCCCTGCCTAAAACTCCTTGTTTACATTTCGTTCATGCCCGGGATTACCCATTCCGAAACCCGATTCTTTGGCCCAGCTGCACCTGCCGCTGCTGTTGGTGCTGCAACATCGGCAGCAAGTGCATTTTACTTCAGTGGCCTTTGTGTTGCATCTGCTGTTGATGCTGTTTTTGGCTGCGATATGCACACGCAAATTGCACCAATTAGGCAGGCTGCATTGTCTGCCGCTGCCAGTTGCAGTTTTGAATGCAGTTGCAGGACTGCATCTGAATGGCTTTTGGTTATGTGGTGGGCATGGGCTTGGGCCTGGTTTTGCTGGCTACCCGTTTCCGAATCGTGTTCCATTGTTTGAGCCCTGTTCGAGTGGAAACATGGCTGTTAATTATTATGTACACTTGATTAAGTAGCACTGGCAATCAGACTTCCCCATCGGAGGGCCCCTTTGGAGCTATCAGCTTGCTCACACGGCGAGCAAACAACGCTGCGTATGCGCAATGTTTTCCTTTACGGCAATATTCCGACGCTTTGCCTGATTATCCTTTGCGCTTTTGACTTTCAATTCAATTTTCGAATTTAGCAGAATAAAAACATCCTATCTCTAGGTGGAGATGCACACACACATGTAGATTTATCCGGAATATATTTATATTTTGCTTATCGTCGTCGACGTTGCTGCTGTTGTTTCAGCTTTTTTTTTGTGCCATGTGGAGGTCGGAGGTTGGCGAGATTGTGAGTTTGTGAGCTGGCTGAGTAATGTTTGCTCTGCATACGTAGCTCCATAGCTACACCCCTCCTTGGAAAACCGCCCTCCGCAACCCTTCGCCCGCCTTTTGCTGAGTGAGCCATATGCAGCGCAATCGTCGTTTTTATTTAATATTTTCTAATAAATTTTTCAAAGTTTATTTTTGAAAGCCTTGCAGCGTTTTAATATCTGCTGCTTCGGTATATGCCAGGACTCCAGGACTCCGGGACTCCAGTTACTCGCTCACTCACTCAACTTCTGCCAGACTTCCCGGCCCACACACAAACCTCGTATATATATTCACACACATCTATATATATATCGCATATATTTGTACAATTTGCCATGGCGCACACATTCTGCAACTTTGGCTAACAATTTTCGTAGCATCAGAGAAGGGGGGCAGCCTGGTCTGATTTCCCATATGCCGCAGCTCCAGCTCCGCCGTTTGGATTTTGGACCCTTTGGCTAAAGACGACGTCGACGCAGAAGTTGAGCTCGGGCACTGCAGCCCGAGAGATGCGAGATCTGGGAGGGAATGGCAGTATGGCTTTGGCTTTTTGTGTTTTACTTGGGACCTCCGACTGCCCGGCAAAAGTTTTTCATTTGCCTGCTCATCAGCGTTTTGATTTTGGTTTTGGCCAACTGCGAAACGAAAACAAGCCGAGACTCCACCTCCTCCACGACCTTCTCGAGAATCGCCCGAGGCTTTTGGATTCTTCTCAACTTGTCCCCAGGACATTGCGCAGATTTTTCCTCTCTTTCCTCTCGCATGTGAGTTGTGTGTGTGTTTACTTTATGTTTGTCTTGGCTAGATACACAAGCGTTCCGTTTCGCATTCCCTTATCTGCAGCTCCCGGGAGCCGTAAGTTTGCTTTCTTTTTCCAACCCCGAATATAAGTCCTGCCTAATTGGAATCCTCCGCCCTCGCCCGTCAAACATAATCTCCTGCTGCAAGTGTTGCAGTTGGATAAATCTTCGGGAGTCGGGTGCCCAATGTTTTCGTATTAACTTTCGAGGTGGATTCAGTGCAGCCGACGTCGCTCTTGCGCCGCGGGCGTTTTAAAATTGAGATAAGATTTTGCCTCGAAAACTTTCGTTTTGCTTTTTATTTTCCCATTTTTATGCTGCTGCCGGTGGTTCTGCTGCTGCTTCTGCTGCTGCTGCTGCTGTTTTCTTTCTGCTTTTATACTCTCCTGTTGTTTTGCGAGCTGCCTGGGGAGCATTGAGGCCATGAGACGAGGAGCAACTTAGGTATGATATCTTTAAATGCAGGCAACACATGGCACACATGGGTATAAGCCAAAGCCAGAACGGACACGACTAGACTTACCTACCAATCGCAAAAGTTTGCGCCTCCAGCTAGCCAGCCATCCCCCCATCCAGCCACCCCAACCCTTGGCCTTATCGGAATCGGAATAGGAGTCGGAGAAGGAGTAGGGTTCAGGTTCGGGTTTGGGTTTCGTCCTGAATGGAGCGGATCGGGGATCGGGAGGTGTATCCTTGCCGTTGTGGTTACTGGCTATGTTCCTGCTCCTTTGTTGTTGTTCCCTCTGCTGTTGCTGCTGCTGCTGCTGCTGCTGCTGCTCTCGTTGCCCTCAGCACTGCAAGGATAAATGAATGAGGAGGCAACCGGCATCCACACGGGCATCCACCCACACACATGTACGAGGCGGAGAAGCCCTGAAGGAACACCACTCGAGAAGGGAGAGAAAAGGGGAAAAGGGGGAGGAAAACCCCAAGTTTCAATCCCAAACACCGGGCACCTTGCCCGACTACAGTGGGCACTCGCTCGTGCAGAGCCCCTGTGGATTACATTTGGGGGCAGAAAGGGAACCATTTCCCCGCCTCCCCCCAAAGAGCTGTGCTGATGAATAAGCTACCCACCTTCCGAGGGTCCTTTGGAGCCCAGTTCCGCCCGTATTCCGCATTCCGCATTCCGTATTCCCACGTACTCCTTGCCTCCTTGGCGTGGCTTGGCTTGGCTCGCTTTCCTTGCTTGGTTTCGTTTCGTATCCATCCATGATTTCCGCACTAATTCCAAACGATCGCCGCGGGCCTAGTCAGCTTTTGCCCTTTTTAGCTAGCCCTCTCGCTCTCGCCCAGCTAGCCTTCTCCTTCTCGACACTGGGAAAAATGTAAAGCAACTTTAGTAAACTATTAAACAAATAATCCATTTTATTTACTTAATTAGGTATCATGTCTATAATTATGCTGTCCATCTTCAATGAAATATTTATTTTTTAAATTTGGTATAATATAATAAGGAATAAGGATTTTAAGTACATATCTTGAAACGTCTTAATTTTTAGCTATAATAATTCTGTCCATAAGGGATACTTGTCTGGGAATTCGATTTTTGATTCAATATGGTTTCGATTTAATTAATTGTCTTTTGAATATTACTAATGATGGTAACATTTTTATAATATTCTGAAAATTGGTATTAGTTCCACTGACTCCAGCTTTACTTCCTTACTCCCATTTTCTGCCAGTGCACCTAGCAACCAGGACACTCGGGCTGTCTGGTCTGGCCTTTGTGTGCGGAAGGTTGGCTGGCCGCAGGACATTTTCTAGGGTTACATAGTCAGCGTCGCAGTCGTCAACGTCTGATGCTCTGCCTAGGTGTGTGTCGCTATCTCAGTGTGTGTGTGTGAGAGTGTGTGCGGTGTGGTGTGCACTTTAGCTCATTTCTTGGCTTTTGTTTTCGCTTTTGTCCTGTTTTGGGAGGGCGAATGCCACCACCACTATGACAGACCGAAAACCGAGCACCCCAAGTCGTGGGGAATTGCCTGGGTGGCACCGGAATGGGCGGGAACCTCGGCTCTGAGCTGAGTTATCCTCCCAGCATTGAGCATCGAACATTGAGCATGTGCCAACGGCCAGTTTTGTCCATAATTCCTTTTTGGAAAATGGTTTCGCCCCGGGCCCAGTTGAGTCCGGACTGGCCGGCAACCTGATACCCAGCTCCGCACTCACAATCTCAACAATTGCAAAACTAATAAGCTCACAGCAGCCATCTCGTTCTGCCGAATGAAACATGAAACTTCAGCAGAAGTATAAGAGCAAGGCCCCCCGTGCCCTCTTCCCCCCTTGCAGATGTGCAATACCAAGAGTTAAGAGTTAATGGCATTGCCATTAAAACCAGTCCAGCGCCAGGCAAAGATGTCAAATGATGGCCGAGAATGCAGAACTCAGAGTGCAGAGCAGCAGGCCGAGATGACGGGATGACTGCATGCCAGAATGAGGATGCCGAAATGATGGGGGGAAGTCGGTTGACAAATATGACTACGGCAAAGGCAACTCTTCAAAATTCATATTGGCCAGAGATGAGCGCATGACACGAGTTGTGGTATCAGTTTATATCTTGCAGAAATTACTTTTCCTTGAATGAAACTAATCTTCTAGGAACTAAATTAACATTAATTTATAATATTCATCCAATCATTCAATTTTTTGTTCTTAATCTAGCAATAATAAACATAAGATAAGATAAACAAGGAATTTCTGGCTTTAATACTTTTTTATTCAAGTCGTCTTGAAATTTGTTACTTTTATGTTCGAATTTTATAAGAAAGTCAATGCCTACATATTATTGACATTTTTGATTTGTATTTTTTATAGGTTTATCAGCTTAAAAACATTCTGGATAGTAAAATATTTTTCATTGTCATTAGACCAAATATTTTAAATTGAAAATAAATTTCAAAGTTTAGGTAGCTAAAAAAGAGTTAATGATTCTCAGAAGCGATCTTTTATATTTTTTGAAAGAACACATTTGGTCAAGCTAAATTGTTGCCCTTAAAAATCGCATGCTCATATTTTGTCACGGGTTCACCGCTGAGTCTCATCTCAAGTGTAACCAAAGGCGCTGCGAACAACTCCAGCAACTCCGCCCCCCGCCCAGCCGGCAGCCTTGCCCCTCCCTACTCCTTTCATCCACCCGCCCCCTTCCCTACCCCTCTCGCCCTGCTCATCCTGCTACTAGACGGCATAGAAAAGATACCGCCCGCGGTGATAATGGACTAGAATAGGATGCAAACTGCAGTGCTTGTCTTATATACAATACCGTTAGCTCAGGGTGTCCACACACACATGTGGACCTGTATGGGTATGTGGCGAATGTGTGTGTGTGAGGGACTTGTTGTTGTTGTTGCACCTGCTCAAGTGGGCCGCAAAGCAATTGAAATTGAATTGTTTGTGTGGCAAGCCAGAGCTCAGGCATTGCATATTTTGTGGCTGCAACTGCAGCAGTTGGCCCAAGGAAGAATGTGGCCAAGAAGGAGGAGGCCAAAGGGAGGGAAGGGGGGAAAGGATATTGGCTAGGAAACCATTAAGCCAGATCCCATAAACGAATGAATATCCAATGTTTGATTGAACGCATTACTCACGCTTTATAATTGCCGTAAATTAATAAAACCCAGCCATGTAGCATTTTACCCACTTTTAGTTCCTCTTCTTCGCCTTCCCCACCGCCATTTCAGCCATGAGAATGCCTTGCAGACATTTATTTTGTGCACTTTTTCTGTGGTTTCCATTTTCCATAGAAGCCGTAACCCGTAACCCTGTTCGACGTCCGCTCCTTGCGACTCTATTCGCTTTTTAGCCCTCGCACACTCGTACATTCGTACATCCACTCGCTGGCCAGTTCCCATTCGCATTTGAATGTTCATGTAGTTAAAGTTAATCAAATCGTAATTACCCAGCCCCAGTCGTTTTGCCCGCAGGGCCTGAAACATTTAAAAAAAGCAAACTTGTTTGGCCACATGGAAAGCGCTGATTTGAGACGAAGCGAAGAATTTATGCTCTTTGAGAGACTCTTTATAGATGAAACTAGGAATGTTATATTGGATTTGAAAGAACATATTAACATACATTTTTATGTTACATAACATATACATATGATTATTTTTATACCCTAAACCAGTAAAATAAGATTAACATGGGTAAAGGATTTACCTAAAAAATTTCTTTAAAATCAAACAACAAAATTTAATCACTAAATTTAAATGCCGTTAAATAATTGTAATTTTAATAATAATTTTTAAAAATCTAAATCTCACAAAAAATGATTTTTTAAGTTCTTTTAAGACCTTGCCATTTGGTTTCCTCATAACCAAGAAGTTACATTTTTTATGGCCAAACTTAACTACCTTCACAAGGTTACTTCGAACGTAACGTGAACTCATAACTGAGGAAAACTGTCTGTGAGCCAGGTTAATGGGCATAAAGCATGTGAACATTTGTCATATGGGACCAACTCGTTTGAGTTTCTCACTGGCGCTGGTTGATTGAGTTTTATTAATTTGCGGTCCTGGAGTCGAGAAACTGATACTGATGATGATGATGATGAGGGCTTTGGCTTAGCAGATTTAGATGTAGCCGGGTAATTGGTGTTGACTTTGTTAAGTCGGCTCAGTGGCCGCGTTGCGCATACGCCATGTGGCACGCATACGACTGACACGTCATAATTGGCGAGCCCACATTGCACATTGCCGCTTTCCCCCGCGAAACAATGTGATTTTCGTGTGAAATTCGACTGGCAGCCCTTCCGGCGAGAGCAACTACAACAACGAGTGCTAAAACGATGCACTCGATGGCCGTTAACATTAACTGCATCCACAGGCCGCCCAGTTCGGTGTGGTTTTGGTATGGGATGCTGTATGGTATGGCGATTTGGTCTTGTCCACGACCAAAGCTGCAGAGAGCCGATCGCTTGGGGCCCGAAGCCCCGTAACCGAGATGGAAACGCAGCGAAAAACCAAATATTCCCACACAATCAGCCCAAGACTATGGCCATATGAAATATATATATATATATATGTGTATACGACTTGGCTCTTTGCCTCCCTGTCTGTGTGTGTGTGAACTTTTATGGGCCCTGTGGAGAGCTGCAAGCCATGTTTGGCCCGTCGCGGCATTTTCGTTGTCACGTTTGCTGTCCTTCGTCGATGTGGCTGTCCGTAATCAGAGTCAAGTCAATTTCGGTTTGGCGCGGGGGTCAAATTGGTTCTCATGATTAGCGCTTTCGTGCCCCCTGTGCCTTATATAAGCTTAACTCAATATGTATTAATCCTCATAATTAATTAGGATTTTATTAATATTTCGGTTGCAGGAAAAAATGCGATATGGATCGAGAGCGCGAAAGAGATGTCAAGGCTCTGGAGCCACGCGACTTGTCCTCCACGGGCCGCATTTACGCCAGAAGCGACATTAAAATCAGGTGAGTTTCGGTGTTATTAAAAGAATTATTTTAAAAATTATTTAAACAGTTTAATTTCCTATTATAGCTTTTTATTTTCTAGTCTAGAAAGAACCAATGATTTTACAAATTTTAAAATACTTTAATTTTAAAAATACTTTATATTCACAGTCAAAATTTAAAGTCTCAATTTTAAAAACAATATTAAACTTGTTTTTCGAACAATATATATTTAAAATCTAATTTTTTTTAAATTAATTTGTTTAATGCAAAATAAATAATCTGTATAACTTAAGTTTTCAATTAAGAATTCTTTTTTAAACCTTCGAAGTGCTCTTTAAACAATTATTATCGAAACATAAATTCAGTATTGTTGAATATATCCAGACTTTGTCAGTAAAGTGTAGAGTACCCTATTGGCAGTATGATGAAGTCAGACTTCCTCTCACCACTAGCAAAAAACCCACCCCACAACATCCCACCCCCCTTTTGTCGCTACCAATCTCATTGTGAATTCGTGAATGGCTTTCGCCCGCAGCTCCTCGCCCACCGTCTCGCCAACGATCTCAAACTCCTCTTCGCCCACACCGACGCCACCCGCCAGTTCCTCAGTGACGCCGCTGGGTCTGCCGGGAGCGGTGGCAGCTGCAGCCGCCGCGGCCGTCGGAGGAGCCTCCTCGGCGGGGGCCAGTTCCTATTTGCACGGCAACCACAAGCCCATCACCGGCATCCCCTGTGTGGCCGCCGCCTCCCGCTACACGGCCCCCGTTCACATCGACGTCGGCGGGACCATCTACACCAGCTCCCTGGAGACGCTCACCAAGTATCCGGAGTCGAAGCTGGCCAAGCTGTTCAACGGCCAGATACCCATCGTGCTGGACTCGCTGAAGCAGCACTATTTCATCGATCGCGACGGGGGCATGTTCCGCCACATTCTGAACTTTATGAGAAACTCAAGACTTCTGATTGCCGAGGACTTTCCGGACCTGGAGCTGCTGCTGGAGGAGGCCCGCTACTACGAGGTGGAGCGTAAGTATTCTGCTTGGAGATCACACGGGGAGAAATGTTTATCAAGTATCGGGAAGTTAATTAAGCAATTGTTTTGCATTAAACTATTTTGACCAGTGGAAATTTAAAAATCTCCTTCATAATCATCTTTAAAGAGATATTGCACTTATGACTGTTGCATAAATATATAAATAGGTCCACCCTAATGTTTATTTTTGCATTAACTGTATTGTATAATTTTGGTATTTATTGAATGATATAAAAAATCATCATAACTTGATTTTAAAGTAGAAAATAAAATGATGAAGAATCTTATCATTAAAAATAAATACTAAAAAATTATTATTACTTTATTTAACTTGTTATGAAAAAAAGAATTAAATATCTTTGAATTGTAGTGGATCCAATCTAAGTTTCTAGTTTATAAATACCGCAAATATCATCGATACTTGATACTTTTCCACTGTGCATAGAGCCTCGTTATGGCCACCAGCGATTATAGCTAATTTGCTCTTCTCCCCATCTCCCTTTCTTCCTGTGTCTCCCCCTCCAATCTCACCGCACATGACCGGTCCGCCCGCAGCGATGATTAAGCAGCTGGAGAGCATGCGCAAGGATCGCGTTCGCAACGGCAACTATTTGGTGGCGCCACCCACTCCACCGGCTCGCCACATCAAGACGAGCCCGAGGACCAGCGCATCGCCGGAGTGCAATTACGAGGTAGTGGCGCTGCACATCTCGCCGGACCTCGGCGAGCGCATAATGCTGTCGGCGGAACGGGCTCTGCTCGACGAGCTCTTCCCGGAGGCCAGCCAGGCGACACAGTCGAGTCGCAGCGGCGTGTCCTGGAACCAGGGCGACTGGGGGCAAATCATCCGCTTCCCCCTCAACGGCTACTGCAAGCTGAACTCGGTGCAGGTGCTCACCCGACTGCTCAACGCCGGCTTCACCATCGAGGCCAGCGTTGGGGGCCAGCAGTTCTCCGAGTATCTGCTGGCACGACGCGTTCCAATGTGATAGGCTCTGGCTAGGGATTCCCCAGCTCCCCAGGAAGTGGCAGTTGCAGCTCCACCTGCACCCGCATCGGCATCTGCTTCTGCATCTGCTCCCTTGGTTCCGGTGGCTTCTGTTTCCGGTTCCGGTTCGAGTTCGGGTTCGGGTTCCTTGCGACGCAGGCCTTCGATCCATGTGCGTTGCAGGCGCTAAACGATCTGGGTCAGGTGACCAAAAATCACAGGTGGGCAGGGTTATCTATGGAGAATTCCGAAAAATACCAAGTACTGATAGAAGGCTAAGGAAAGGTATAAAATCCAGGTTAATCTAAGACAATTGCTGGATTTTTTGAGGGTTAATTTTACAACAGCCATTATCAACCATTAACTATTTCATATTCGAATGATTTCAAATCTTAAATGTGTTCAAGTATTATCTCCTAAACTTCCTTTAAAAAATCCCAAATATTTTCCAGCAAATGTAGTAGATTAATACCTACTCGGAATTGTCCATATATTTAATGGGGTGACTGCGCATTGCTGCTCTGAGCAGTAAAAGACAACTTTTAGAATTACTTGGACACCGTTCGCTGCGGATGCAAGTTCCGAATCTGAATCTGAATCCAAATGTTATTTAATGTTTATCAATTAAGTTTGCTGGCACAGAAACTGGACGCAAACACACACCGGTGCGTATTATTAAGCATTTAGAGAGCCAAGAGCCCAGCACTGATTTTGTTTTTTTAGCCTTGCGTTTAAGTCGTATATTGTTTTCTCTAAGTGTACCACCTACTGCTAATGACCTTGAGTTGTTCCATGAAATCGAATCGGCCACCGATCGCAGATGGCTTAAATTATTGTAACACCCACACACGGAAAACTATGGTAGAGTAACTCACAGCGAAAATAGTTTTGTAGTACTTAATTGATGTAATTGAACCTTTATGAATGTAAACTATGGGATAACTTTTTCAATATATACGAACCGACGTCTAAATAGTCTACACCAATTCAAATACAATTACATGCAAGTATAGATATATTCATCAAAATACAGTTTGCGACCACGCCCTCTATAGAACAACCACTCAATTGAATATTTAAATAAAGCAAAAAATACGTGTACATTTTTTAATTTATTGTTTGGAAGAATGGGATTCAAATTTGAATAACTAGCGGGCATCAAACGGTTAATAAGATGGCGCAACCGGTAAGATTTGTAGATGGCGCTTTGACTTTGACATGTAAAATGTAAAGTAAACAAGAGAGAACGCTATAGTCGGGTTGTTGTCCCGACTATCTAATACCCGTCACTCAGCTAAAGGGAGTGCGAACGCTGTGTCGGGTTGGTGTCCCGACTAATAATCGTAACTCAGCTAAAGGGAGTGCGAGGGAGATAGATATATAATTTTTGATTGCGTATAACTTTTTAATGAATGGTCCGATTTGAAAAATGTCTTCTACATTTCGATAGGTATAAATATACACAACAAAATTGCATTTATACTTCTCGGAAATCTTTAAAGATGTGGGCGCAGGACCCATTTTAAAATCGTTAGTGGGCGATTGTGGGCGTTAGAGGGGGCGTGGCGCTCGGCTAAAATAAACTTGCGCTGCGTAGGAAGCCAAAGAATATGTGTGGGAAATCTCAACCTTCTAGCTTTTGTAGTTTCTGAGATCTCAGCGTTCATACAGACGGACAGACAGACAGACAGACAGACAGACAGACGGACAGACGGACAGACGGACATGGCTAGATCGACTCGGCTAGTGACCCTGATCAAGAATATATATACTTTATGGGGTCGGAAACGCTTCCTTCTAGCTGTTACATACTTTTGCACGAATCTAGTATACCCTTTTACTCTACGAGTAACGGGTATAATACTCTACGAGTAACGGGTATAAAAATAAATATACAAGGGTGTAACAGAAATCGCTTAGCGCTGAAGTCGTGTAAAATGTATATTTATGCACATAAACGATTTCTATACCAGTAAAATATTTATAAATATATAAAAATTAAATATTTAAATTTACGCGAAAGTGATGTCGATCATTGGTTTAGTTTTTTACTTTGAAATGGAAATCCGACTTTTAACAAAGGCTCTCTCTTCTCACTTTTGTCATAATTATTCATCAAATAAACAGTATTTCTTCCAGAATAATGGAAAAACGTTCGTTAGATGTTATACCACGTGAATCTCGTAATAAATTTTCCAGTTGATTGGCATTTAAACAGTCCTTTAGATAAACAATTCTTTCTGATATGAACAGATCATTTTTGAAAAATGCAAAAGTATACTTACTGTTGATTCAAAAATTTCAAATATTTCCAATAACAAGGCAGTTAGAATTATTGAAAAATAATTTTTATTTGTGTATATATATTCGCATATATGTAAATAGTCTAGTTTAAATTAATTAACTTATTCAGTAGGCATAACTTGGCAAATCTACACGTGTATATGTGGTACATATATTGTATATTAGAAGTATATATATATTTGTGTGGACTACCTATGTATCTTTGATCAGTAACATATCGCCTAGGCATTCGCTTACACTCTAGTGTGCCAACAAGGTATTCGAAATCTTTAGGAGATTTGCATCGATCGACGCATGGCACGCTCGGGATTTGATTGTCAAACTTTATAGATCGAATGGGATTTGAAACTAGGCCTAAAATTGCATAAGATCGATATTGATTAGTTTTCTGTTTTCTACTATTTTCATATGCTTAACTGTGTGTGTGTGTCGAGTCGTTCGATTTGTTCATCGTTTTAAAAGTCCTTAGGTCGAGTTGAATACAAACTATATCACAGTTGGAAACTAGGCGCTACAAGAGACTACGACTAACTACAAGTACAAGAAGTAATTGGACATCTCGGTTTAGCTTAGTGTGCGCCCTCCGGTGGAGTCGATCTGGATTGGGATCTTCGATCTTCGGAGGCGTCTAAGAAATGCACTATCGGTGTTTGTTTTCTCGTAATTACATGGATGCTACAAGCGCAGGACCGCGACGACGATCCCTGCTGACTACTGTGTGTTGCTAGGAGGCTAGGATAGAGTAAAGGTGGTATACACAAAGATGGGGGACTGGCTAAGTACACTAGAGCGTAATATCGGGGTAGTAATATACAAATCTATGGGTCGGTCTAGACTTTTTTACAAGCTCCTATCTAAGATAAGCAGCATGGCTTCCAAAGGCACTTGGCAAGATTCCGCTTCATTGGCAATCCTCGATCCTCGATCCTCCTACACCCTCGTCTCAGTATTCCGATTCCGATGCAGTGGCTGTAGCTCTCTTTGGGTATCGTTGTAGTACTCGTGATCGGAGCTCGTTGGCTCGCTGCCCGGCAACGGGCCGACCTTGACCTCCATGGTGCCCGGCACGCCCATCACCGGAATACCGATGGTCTGCGTGGGTATTGGCGCCTCCGACACCCCGAGGGTCTGCGCATTCAGCAGATACTCCGGATTGTCCACGCTGACGGGCACTCCGATGAGATCCATATAGCCCGCGGCCACGCCCACTGCCGCTGCCATGTTGTTTTGGTTGGGATTGTTCGTATTGTTGTTGTTATTCGGTCCCAACTGGCAGGTGGACGACGTGGGCATCAGGTAGTCATCCTCGTCGACGGGGAGATCTAGGCGTAGATTACCAACGCCCACTTCCCGGGCACTCGAGTCCGTCTCATCGTCGCCGGTGCTCGAGTTCTTGTTGCTGGGATCCTTGCAGTAGCGATTCAGCTTGGGTATCTCATCGGTGCAGTCGGTTCGATGGTGGCTAGGACCAGGAGCCGCCTTGGGCTGCAGGTAGTCATCGGGCTCCACGATCGCCTCGGAGCCATCGGTGGTGGGCGCCAGCTTGCGGATGAGGTCCTTCTCGTCCTGACTCGTGTACGCCGGCAGGCGGGTGAACTTGTCGCCGGGAATGGCCAGGTAACGACCAGGATCCCGGGCGAATTCGGCAAACACCGTGGTCAGTTGCTTGAAGGTCGGTCGCATGGCGGCATCCAAGTGCCAGCAGGAGAGCAGCGTGCAGTAAATGTCCAGCGAGCAAATCTCCGGCTGCTCTAGCTTCAAACCCACTTCAATGAGATCTGGGATATCCTTGGCGGGTATGTTCTCGTGTGGCCGCTGGCCAAAGGTCAGCAGCTCCCAAATGGTCACGCCAAAGGCCCAAACATCCGACTTGCTGGTGAAGACCCGATTGCGGATGCACTCCAGGGCCAGCCACTTGATGGGCATCTTGCCGCCGGCCGCCTTGTACTCATTGGAATCGCTGCTCAGCAACTTGGCCAGTCCGAAGTCGGTGATCTTCACCAGCGATGGCGTTTGCACTAGGACATTTCGGGCAGCCAGGTCGCGGTGGACCAAACGCTTCTCCTCTAGGTAAGACATGCCCTTGGCAATCTGCGTGCTCCAGTTAAGCAGAGCCTTGGAGCCAATCTTATCCCTGTTATTCCTTACATAGTCCAGCAGACAGCCCAGGGGCATCAGTTGGGTGATCAGCATCATCTGCGAGGACATGCAGACGGCCAGGAGCTTCAGCAGATTCACATGCTCCACCGAGGCCATGATGTAGGCCTCGCGGAGGAACTCCTCGCTGGACTCGGCACCGGTGGACTTGAGCAGTTCCTTGATGGCCACCGGTATCTTGACGTTCTCGCCCTCCGGCACCCAGACGCCCTTGTAGACCCGACCGAAGGCTCCCATTCCCAGGACTCCGCCCTTGCGCAGCTCCGCATCCTTGACAATGCGCAGCTTGCAGAGATTCGCACCGATATTCGAGGGACGCAGTGGCTCGGAATCCTCGCAGCCAGACAGAGCCATGGTCATCTTGACGGTCTCCTTCTTGGCCTTCTGCTTCTGCCGGCAAATGTAGGTGACCACGCAGAGGATGCAGATCGTCGGGACCAGCACGGCGCCCGTGATGATGAAGATCATGTTGACATCCAGATTGCCAGCCAGTATTTTGGCCCTCGGTGGACGAGCGGCGCAGTAGGGTCCAATGTCGGCGAACTGGTAGTTCACATGCCGCATCTCCAGCGGACACTTCGAGGTGCAATTGAACATGGTCGAATTGGCATAGGGACCTGTTTCGTTGGCATCGAAGAGTTTGAAGTTGCGACAGGAGAGGCAGTCGTCTACTCCGGGACCAGTGCATCCATTGCATTCCGCGTGGCACTGGAAGCACTCCCTCCTCTCCTCATCCGTGTAGTGATCCGCCGGGCACTCCGTTTCGCACTGCTCCCGCCGCTTGTAGTGGGTGCACTTGGAGCAGACCTGCTCGTGGTAGCCATAGTTGGTGCACAGCTCGCACAGGGGATGGCACTTCCGGCACACGGCCCTCCCAGCCAGCGGTTTGAGGGAGCCCTGCTCCTGCGGATGCACATACTCCCAGAAGTAGCCATCCGGACACTTGTCGTCCTTCAGCAGGCAGCGCTTCACCGTAGCGTCCGTGTTGATGATGGCCAGATTGCAGGTCTTGCAGGCTCCCAGACCGATGGTGTCGTTGGGTCCAGTGCATCCATCGCAGGTGGCATGGCAATCGCGGCAAACTCCATGGTCGTTGTACTTGTTGCTGGGACACTCCGAAACACAGTGCTGCCCGTCCCGCACATGGACGCACTCCTGGCAGTGATCCGCTCCAGCTCCATTGCAAGTCCGGCACTCGGAATGGCAAATCATGCAGGTTTTGTTGTCGAACTGGTAGGCACTGTGGAGAGAAAAGGATTACGTTACTAAATCGCTCAAAATCGAGATGAAGAAAAAGATAAGTACAAAAAATAAACTATGTAAAATCAACATATTTCATGTATTTTCTAGTTTTAGTTTTTCGGTCATTGAATAGTATTTAACAATTCAAATAGTCGAAAGCCTATTTACGAAATGTTCAAGTATTTTGTTGTTTTATTCATTTGGCAAATTAATAGTAACGTCTTAGTTAATATCGTAGCAAAACTATTTTATTTTTTGGGGCATTGAATAGTGACACCACAATTAATATCGAAACCCAAATATTTTTTTCCTTTTTGTATTTTGTTGTTTTAAAAATACACTTATAAATTGTACGTCAACTATTTTTATGGGCTTGGGGTTATTAGACTATCCGACTCAAAATCTCTGGGTCGTGAGTTCAAAACCCGCTTTTGCAGATGATGTTTTTTTTTTTGTTAAATGTTGATTTCAAGTCTATAAATTTTCCTCTATTGGTTAGAGTGTTGACAATGATGATTACAGTCCCGGTTCGATTCCCAGCGGAGCCAAAAAACCTAATTGGTACGTTTTTTTAATATTTGTGAAATGTAAGGGTCTATAAATAACTTCCATATAAATTTTTATAACAAATTAAAAAAAAAAAATTTTTTTAAACAAGTTTTTTTGGGTGTAGGTCTATTCTACTATTTACTATTTTAATTCTATTTTCTATGGTTGTGGGAGTTTTAACTATTAAATAGTTGATTTTACATATTTTTTTTTGTGTTTGGTATAAGGATTTTCTGTTACTTACTTGGATATAATTCCACAGTCGGCGATGCAGGTGCCATTGAAGTTGAAGTTCTTGCAGGTGAGGCACTGATCAGCGCCAGCTCCCCAGCAGCCATCTTCATTACACTGATCCGAGCAAATGGTTCTGTTTTTCTCTGTTAAGTTAAGAAATAAATAAATAAATTATGGAACCAAATTCCAGACTACCATAGGTACTTACCGCATAGATCGGCTCGAAGATTCTCGTTGACCCACACCTTCTGCTCGGCATTCACCTGAATCGCCGGCCACCGGATGTTGCCCACGTAGCAGAGGTTGCGATTGTGCTGGATGACCACACTGCCGGAGCTGATCTGCTTGAGGTTGCGCATCTCCAGGCTGTACAGGGAGGACTTGACGATGGCCAGGGCGGCGAACATGCTCTCCATCAGCTGGCGACCGTGGATGATCTCCAGGTTGCGGAAGTACGAGAGGTTCCGGAACTCCTCGTGGGTGCCCTCGATGTTCAGATAGCCGGTGATCTCTTTCACAGTGGAGAAGACCTCCAGTCGCTCGGGATCGAGTGGTATGTAGCGCGGTCCCATCGTGTAGTTGGCATAGACATCCTGGAAGCCCGAGAAGGTCTGATCCAGGATGCGAATATTACCATCGATCACTGTGCAGTTGCGGAAAGAGTCGATATTTCCGGCATGCAGGACTGCAACTCCGGGGCAGGTTTTGGGGCAGGGTCCATTGCAGGGCACACACTCGCTGTTCTTGTCCATCTTGTCCGGCGGACAGCTGCGGACACAGGCGCCATTGTCGCGCAACAGGTGACCGGGACACTCCTTCACACAGGTGGCCCCGTACGCGTACTTGCCACCCGGATTGGCCTCCAGCACATAGGTGGTGGGGTTGTACTTCCTCATCGGCGGACACTCCTCCTTGCAGACGCCCTCGTCGAAGAAGTTCTTGCAGGCAATGCAGTCCTTTTGCGTGGGTCCAACGCATCCGCCGGCGCAGAAGAGGTGACAGCACTCCCGCGGCTTCGGTCCGTAGCAACGTCCTCCGGCACACTGGGGCGAACAGGTCAGCTTGCTGAACTTCTGGCAGTTCTGCGGTCCCTCGCCCCAACATCCGTGGGCGCAGCTCTCGTGGCATTTGGGACACTCGCGCTCCGGCGCCGTGAAGTTGTAGTTGTAGTACGCATCCGTGCCGTTGGACACGATCTCCGACCACTGGATCGTCCGCATGTGGCACAGATTGTAGTTGTTGTGGAAGCCCACCTGACCGTTGAGCACGTCGCGCAGATCGGGAATCTCCAGCGTGTACATCTTGGAGTAGGTCACGAAGAAGGCGTACTTCTCCTCCTCCACGGACAAACTGAACAGCGTGCGGCCACGAATGATTTGCAGTCTGTAAATGGGAAAAGTAAAGGGTTAGTTTAGGTTCGAAAATAATATATTGCAGTCCTTAAAATAAGAAAAGGTTATACTGAAAATGTAGATACATAATACCTTCTACTCGACTGTTAAAAAAATCTTAGTATGAACATTGCACTTAAATATTTTTGCAATGACTTTTATCTATTGGAAATATTAATTTTACTGTTATTTTTAAGGATCTTAAACATCAATTTTATTATGAAAATTTTAAAGTCCTATTTATTTAATTAAAAAATATCTTAAGTAAATATTGTAAAATGTTTTGCATGTATATAGTATTTCAGAAGTATTTAATTGTACTACATATTAATTATATATTAGAATACCATGATCTTACTTTGGAAACACCACTTTCTTGACGTCCACATGGCTGATCAGTATATAGCCGGTGACCTCCCGAATGTTGTCCAGGAAGCTCAGGTTCAGGTTCTCGTTGGGCAGCCAAGTGAGCTCCAGGTTGCCATCGACGTACGTGCAGTTTGTGTACCGATCTCGGAGGTTCCGGTAATGATGTTCCTTGTTCGAGGGCACCGAAAGCCGGGATTTGGTGCCGATGCAGACTGCAAAGAGAGTTGACAAAAGGGAAAACGTTGTAATACTGTGGGTGTTTATGCGGGCTAATGGGTTTTTCTTTTCGTTTTCCTATTTTTCTGAGTTTCAGCTGACCCTAAACTGTCCAATTATCCACAGCCCACCAGGTCGGGTAGGTGTGAGATTCTTATGAAAAGGGCCGTACGTGGGCTAGGGTCCAAGTGTGGGCCGACAAAAGTGTGCCATGTGTCAGTTGCAGCGGAGTTAAGTCGGAGTTAAAGTTAGACACCCACCTAAAAGACCGAACCCAACCCACGGATCAGGGCACCCAACTAATTACACACAAAATGGCCGCTCCCCCGCCCCAAAACTTTATCGATTTCCTTCGAAGTTCGAACAAATATCCCATAATTATGAGGAGGAACGAACCAAAGACAGAAAAATATTTCTGTCGCCAGAAACCGAGAGAAATTCCTTTGGCGATGGGAAGAAAAAGTTAAATGCCCCCAGATATGCGTCCCATGCATTCCGCCAAAGGAGGAGGAGGATGATCAAGGGAAGGAGGAGGAGGAGCAGGAGGAGCAGGCGAAGGTGAGGCCACGACTGGGACCTCGACTTTGTCGCTGGACACTGATCAAAAGCGGCTGCAGCAATCGAAGCGCAAAAATTTTCGTACAAATTCTTTAGCTTTGTTTGTGCCCGTTTCTTATTTTTTTGTTTGTCTTATTTTATTTTTATTCTTTCTTTTTTTTTTGGTCGAGGTTGCCGCTGGGCAGCAGCATCAGCATCAGTCGCCTTCATTTCTCATGGCGAGCGAAGCCGACATCACGAAACCCTTTTCAAGACTCCTCGACTGCGGCTTTATCGCGCACAATTTATCAGCCAGGTTTTTCATGTTCGAGGCCTGAAACTTAAGCCACGACGCGACGGCTGTGGAGATGGAGATTCCCTGCGAGGTTTCTTTCGAATTTGCGATTTTTCTTTGCTCGCCCAGCGACACGCCCGCCGCCTCGGCAGCCGAAGGCTCACAAAAAGGCTAATTTGTAATCCTTAGGCTAAGGCTAAGTGTGGCAGCATTAATGAGTGGCCGGGGACGGCGACTCCATCTCCAGCTCAGTCGCCGCACAGCACAAATCAAAGTCATAATTCATGATGTGCTCATTAAAACAAAAGACTTAGGCAACGAACTTCAGCGCTGAGATTAATCAACCAACACACATGCAGAGGCGAACGCAGACTCTGGAAAATCGCTGTATTTGCTGTATTTGTTTATCGATTTGTATGCCAAGCCATCAACACACTCGACGACTTCAACTCTAGCCGCCCTTCGCCCCGCGCCCTCTCCCCTCCCCATCATCATCATCAGCATCTGACGTACTGATTAATAGGCAACCGCATTCCAGACTTTACTTCGCTGACTTTCTAAATATTGTTTTTTTGTTTCCAGCTGCTGCTGCCGTGTGTTTGTTGGCCTTTTCACCGAAGATGGAAATGGTAGAGGAAAGCCAAAGAGACTGCATAATCGATTCTTTCGGTTTTTCCATCGGCAATTTGACTTTTGGACCCCAAGTTTTCCACCTATTCTGGCCTAGACGCAAAGCGTTCTTGACGTTCTCCGCAGGTCCCCCGAATCCCCCGATCCCCCTGATCTTTCTTCACTGCAACCGAGACCCGACTCGCTCAGCCGGTTCTGCGCACTTAACAGTTTTTGTTGCTCACGTTCGTAGCGCTCTCGGCGCTCTTTACCTCACCTCACCGTACCTTCCCTGTATCTGTATCTGTGTTTTCTGTTTTCATTTCGTGGAAAAGATTTTTAACTCATGGCCCGAAACCGAAACCAAAAACAAAAAACAGAAAACAAAACCCCAGATGGCTGGCAACATTTTTGTGTACCCTCGCCCGGGGCAACACGAAGAAAAAGAAAAAGAACAAGAATTCTGTGTAGATTTTGTTGTAATATAACAAAAGATTTAAAAGGGCATTAGGCTGGGCCTTTGTTTTCTCAGCCTTTGGATTTGGAGCTATGCGATCGAATGGTTGGTTATCCCATTCGATCAAATTATCGGTCAATGTCTGTGCCGTTAAATGCCGCTGGCGATATGTGAGTTTGGTTTGGAGATATTTTTTTGATGAACAAGTCAAGTACATTGATTTGATCCGCGGCGGCGACGTTGGTGAAAGTTTCAAACCGGGGCGCCATATGCAGATGCAGCTGCTGGCGGATCGCAAGGTGTCATAGATTAACGTCCGCCGGCAATTGCAATGCGATCGGTGCGGTGCGCTTTTCCCCCCTCCACCACCAACAGCTCCCCATAAATAATTCATAACTGTTTTGCGACAATTTCAGTCCACTGCGGCTCGGCACGCGCCTATTTTACAATGAAATTGTGTAAAAGTGCTTAATAAATTCATTTGTGCGGCCATTAAAAACACGCAGCTCATTAGGGGAAGGGGAGGAGGTTTACCACTAGCCAGAGTCTCAAGTCCGCCGCTTACGTGCGCGGATTTTGCAATTTTCCTCTCTCTCTCCTCGGGTTTTTTCTCTGATTTTTTCCTGACTTTTATTTCGCTTTGCAGAATGCTGTTGCGGCAACTTTCTTTCGTGCTGACTGCTATTGCCGCGCTGCTGTTCTATGCTCGCATCGTGGCGTCACGAAGGCGAAGGCAAATAAGCGCAACTGCAGCGGGTGGTGGGATAATCTTCGGGGGGTGGGGATATAGCAGGGTAGGGATAGAGGTAGAGGTAAAGGTAGAGGGCAGGGAACAGGGGCCAGGAAATCTTAGCCAGAAAACGCTTCAAGCGCAGGCGCATCTTCAGCTTGGCTTGGCATAACAAATTTGCAGGCAGCGGCACCAACAACAAAGCACCGACAATCGACTGTCCTCGGTTACGAAAAAGGCACTGACAAAAATTAAACATCTAAAAATAACTTAAATAAATAAAAATAAAATTTCCAAGCCTACATCGAAAATATTTTTAATATAGCCTTTTAAAACCTGATAGTATAAAATAAAGATTTTTAAGACCAAAATAGATCTGAAATTATCAAAGGGCTATAACAGCATTTTCTGGCACCAAGTAAAACCGGCTAATATTAAGTTATAAGAACCCCAATTTCTCTCAGTGCCTTGCCAAAGGCAAATCAGGCAACGGCCACGAAACGAATCGAAAAGAAGATGCAGCAAAAAAGAGGCACAAAAAGGCAGCCTCTTGGCTGGAGATGATGGTGATGCTGATGCCTTGTGGCGGCTCATCTGGCTGGTTTTCCTTGGCGTCCCTCCACTGATCCTCGGTCCCCGATCCCCCTAACCCCCTAACCGCCAATCCCCGAGACCCATGATCGCCATGATCAGCATCTTCTGCTTTCGGGTTTTCGTGTTCGAACCGCGTTCATTTTGTTTCGAACAACAATTGGGCGCAGGTCGTGAGGCACGACAGTGAAACAGCAAAACAGCAATGCCTGGATTAGATAAGCTTATTGTTTTCGCTGTTGCCAGTACTCTTTGTTCTGGAACCCCGAGCCCCCCAACTTGCAATCCCCGGACCGAACCCCTTAATCATCAGAAACCCCCAACTGGGGCGAGCTGCAGCTTTTGGCTATAGTTTTAGCTTCGGCTTTGGACTTGGCTTAATGAGCACGCCCTGGCGCCATTTTTGGTCTGCTGCCTGGCTTTGAATTTTCGCATTCGCAACTATTTTTAGGCATAGAACGGCTCAAGAGCGAGACGGAAAAGAAAATCGGGGAGAGGTCTCAGAAGCAATCGCAGCAACTGAGCAGCAGCTCGTGGGCAGAGGACCGACAACCTCGGCTTTAACTCTGGTTTTCGAAATCGAACGCCCACACGCAGAAAAAAATAGGCAAAGAAAAAAGGCGGAGGCAGAGAGTCAAGCGAACTGCAGTCAAAAGTTCACAAAAGTCAGCACGGAAAGAAATGTGGGCTATATTTGAAAGACCATGCCAAGTGATATTAAAAACATATAAAATATTTTTTTCTAAATAACCAACGGCATTTAAATTAATAAAATAAAGAATATTTATGACAAATGACCTAATAATAAAATCCAAATAAAGCAGAATAAATAAATGTTTTTAAAATCGATTTCTAGAAATACATATACACCAATACACCAAATAAATCAGAACAAATAAATGTTTTTAAAATATATCCATATAATTTTTAGGTACTACCCAAATGCATAATCTTTTTTCTGTGCAGCCCAGGAAAAGTGTCTTTGGGTCCAGGAAAACCAAACAAATATGCGCAGAGAGCGGAGCTCTTTGGGAACAATCAACAAGTGAGCGACAGACTGCGCAATCGCAGCAGCCCGAGATGCTCTTTCCTTATTTTTCTTTATTTTGTGCCACTCTCCGCTCTCGTGTGTATCTGTGTGGGTTTTAGAAAACCAGTATTTCGACTAGGGCTCAAAATTGCTGGAAGTAGTTGAACAGCTAAAAGTAAATGTAACGCTAATGCATCAACGACTGCAGCAGACCAGGCCTTAAAGTTCAGCATTGGCTGAAAGCCAAGCTCTGGCCATTTCGCAGTTCAATTTGGCCATTATTTCTTTGATATGATGGCTTAATCAGAAGTATGGTAGAAAAATGCAAAGCGCACACACAGATACGCACTCACACAGGCGAAGGCAGCGCGTGCCTGTCGCCGTAATTAGCTGGAAAACGGAAAATGGGGGTTTTCGGGGGGATGGGGCTCGGATTGGGATGCTGGTTGGACTCGGACTTGGACTCACGAAGCCATCGCAGCAAAGCGCACTATGGAATGCGGTTTTTCAAGCGCTAGCACGCACACTCGGCTGTCTGCGTGTGTTGGTGTGTATCTATGTGGGGGGAGGTGGGTGGCTGTAGTGTTGAGATTTAAGCACCAAAATCTAGGAGGAATGGGGACCATTTACGAGGATTTTTTCTTTAATAATAACTTTAACTTTAATAAAAAACTTATACTTTTTGGTAACATTAAGAAAAAAGAGAACCAGTATTTAATATCTATCTATTAAACTATTATATACATT